TTCCGTTTAGGGTACCTGTTTTTGACCAGGTTGATTCCCCATTCTCGCAGAAACCACCCATTTTTCCCGAGCCCTATTGGAAGATCTTATGGCCTTTTGTATCCCGAACCTAAACCAAACTACGGGTCTTGGTGCTGTCATAAAACCTATCCGAACAGCCAACCCCCAATGTTTACATGCAAGCAAACTGACCCATTCCGCCCTACCGACCTAAATGGACCCTAAGCGAACCCCGAGTCCCATCGGTACCTGCAACAATTAATCCCACGGTTTTCCTTTACTCAATCTAAACATGGACTTTGTTGTGGGCTCAAAAATCGAGACCCAAACGGCATCCCTGCAAAATGGAACAGACTCAAACCTGCAGTCCCCTTCTTCAATTTGGAGGCACGCCCATTTCACAAACGCTATCCCAAACCAAACCGTACACCAAGTCTCATGGGCTGTCTTTTTTTTGAGGGTATAGCTCAACTTGCTAACTTGGCAACCAACATCCAAGTAGTGCACAAGATCCCGGTTTTGGGCTTGGTTCACAACCCAAAGAGCCCAGAAAGTTAAGAAGAGCCCAAAGAGCCCAAAGAGCCCAAAGAGCTCAAGACCTAAAGAAGCTGTTTGAAGGGGAAACCAACAGGAAAAACCCGTTTGCCCATTTTGGAGACCGTGGGTCTTCGAAAATCTGGGCCCGGCGCGCGCGGGCCCGGCCAGCGGCCCCGCGCTCGCAGGTGGTTCTTCCGAACCACAAGAGCCGCAGCTCCACTAGCTCCGTGCACAAGGGCCGGGGGCCCTCCGATGCCCCCGAGCACCTCGAGGCGAGATGGCGCGGTTCGCGGCATCGATCCGAGGTGCACGACGCGCATCAAAAAGCGCCGCACGCGAAAACACGCACACACGTGCGCGCACGTGATCATAGTTATACTTTGGTGCATTTCGCCAAGGGATGTTGGGACTTTAACTTTTTGCCAACTAGTGAGTTTTCCATGAAACCACTAAAGTTAAACTTTTAGTAGGGGAGCAGACAGCAACCGAGTATATGTATGTACACATATGGGTATGGGTCAAAAATCATCCACCAGGCGACCGCAGGTTTTAGTACGTGTAATTATACCCTCCCACCAATTAACATGGAACCTGGGTCCTGGAAGACCATTTCCCTTTGAAAGGGACCGGGTCCCGAACGTGCGGCAAACGTTGGGGCTGCAGTCAAAAGAGCGCGCTGGCTGTCAACCCAACGTGCCTTGGGACAAAAAATGGCACCAGTTACTTGTGACTGCGTTCACATGATGAGGTGAATTCGATGCATCACCATCGATGTGAAATCACATCGGAGACATGACAAAAGTCGCTGGCTTGTTGGGATATTGCTTCACGCAGGAATCTAAGCACCGGCTGTACAACGGTTCTATCATATCTAAAAGGCATCGGTGGCAACCAGCGACCAAAATGCCAGAAAGGTCCTGGCATGGTCCTTGCAGCAACACGTCAACCAAGCGCGAGACAACGATGCTGTTCAAGGGTGGAGGTGTAGAATAGAAGTCGGGTTCATTCCGCCATGCACCCCCCATAGCCTACTTGGTCAACCCCAACCTTTAATCCAAGATAGTCCACCACCCACATGCCACTACTTCCAGTAAAAAATGGGACATGTATATATATATATATATATGTATATATACACGTGTAGACATACCCTTTGTAAGGTGGGTATTTCGCGGTTGCATACCCCATTAAATTACTAGTAGCTAGTATCCGTCTTGGTTTTAACCATGTGTTTCCCCTTTTGGGCCCATTTTAAGCTAACGTCCCAGGTGAAACTCTGCCGCTAAAATTCGAATATTGATCCGACGAAACTGGAATGCAAGGAACCCTTTTCTTGGGTTGTTCAAAGGCAATCCCTCATCCTGTGTTGGGTTACGAAAGAAGTCGCAACCCGCCATTTCAAGAACCGCCCAATTGTTCTTTGCGGCTTTTCGTCAAGGTTTCCAAAGTTTGGTAGCCCTTTTGCCTTGGATTTGATTGGAATTGAAGCCCAGTACCTTTGTAGCCTGAAAAAAGTTCACCCGGTTCCACCCCTTTGGAGTGAGTTGGACGCTCCCGCTAGGTCTTGAATGAGGCCGGCCGCTTTATCCTGGAAAGGACCAAGGCGGGGTACGAGGGATGGTTGGGATTGACATGTGGCTAGATGCATGCTTGACCAAAGTTTTGTTGATTCTAATCAAGAGTCCTTGTTTGTTTGCTTCCTCCTTTCCTGGGCGGGATTTTCCTGATGGTTCCAGGGGTAACTTCCCCATTCTTTCCAGGGATCCGAACCTTTCAAGAAATCCTCCACACACCCAGGGGACACGAGTCCAGTTTTTGAGAAAAGAACGGATGGCTCTGGGGGTTGTTTCCCCATTCTTTTCAACGAAATGGGAGGTACCCCTGGAATGGCTGGACCAAAAACCTGGACAAGGCGAATCATCCCCCAGGATCAGGGTCGTGGTGGACTATTTGGGGTTTATCCAACCATGGTTGTTGTTGGGAAACATTTTTCCCATTTTTGCTTATTGTGGTTTAGTGGTTGATTTCTTCACTGAACTGCTAAAATTGAAAAACCATTTTGCTCCCCGAACCCAACATCAACCAAGCAGCCACTTCTGAAGATATCTTCGGGAGTCCAAAAAAACGGGCTCCTTTTTGCAGCTTAGTCTTAGGGGCTAAACCCCTTGTTGTATCACAGAAGCGGATTCCTTTTCCCACAGCCCTGCCCAGGATGGTTGGACATCTGTTTCACCCAACAAGTTTTTGTTTTTTGTGTTTTTTTTCTTTAATGGGCAGGTTTTTGGCGGCAGCTGGCGAAAAGAGCCCAAGCGAATCTCCCAGTAAGGGAAACCACCGCTCTGGTGGGATTTTTCCCCTTTGGTTGGAAGATGTTCGGGGGTTCCCACCTGTAAAATCCGAAGATCCTTTGGATTTTGCCTTTCCTGATTTTACTTTGGATTTCCATTGGATGATTTGAAATCCGGGCTCTTCCGGCTTTCATGGAACCAACAAAAAAGCTGTGAGTTGCGGTAATTGGAAAACGGTTCCTTCCATTATTTTGGATGGAAGTAGCGAGGGGTCCTATATTCAAAACCTTCCGGAGGTGTTCACACACCTGGGCTGATTTCAGGTGAGCTTCCTTCTGCTTGGACGCAGGAACAAATCTCTGCCGGGTCCCTTGCCATTTGGGTCCTTTCGGGGCAAAGCCATAACCCATTCCATCCGATCGCCTCGAAGTTGGAAATCGCTTGCCGTTGGGGTCCTTTCGGGGCAAACTTCCCATGGCACTTCCGATCGCCGATCAAGGCGAAGCGGGGGGAGAAGGGCACGGAGCTGACTTGGCTGGACTTCTTGGTGCGCCAGATCTGGCCCAAGGCGCATGCAGCTTTCTGTGCGAGTCGGACGGGTTCTGGAGGCTTTTGGAGGCGTTGCCATTTGACTCTCCGAGTCTCACAGTAATGTGCACATACACACACATCATGTGTAACCCTTAAAAACTCTTTCCGAACCTTGATATACCCTGTATATATCCATTGGCTTCTGGGGGTAGTGGTTTGGGGGTAGTCGATGTAGTCTTAGATGTGTGTGTGTGTGTGTGGGTGTGAGTGTGGGTGTGGGTGTGTGTGTGTGTGTTGTTTGAGGGTACCCTTAACCCGGGATTGGGTCAAAAAGCGAGACCAAAAGGACACGCTTGGTCAAGTTTTTGGCTGGGCAAGTTTAGCTTTTTGGGCATTCAGATGTTGGCTCCACACTCCTTTCAAGGTACCGGGGTCTCACAGCGATTCTCTGCAGAACGTGGCCAGAGGGGCTTGAGTGGTGAAGTCAACGCGAGCATGGCTGGGATCAATGGCTATGAGGGTCTGCTCTTTGTTCCGGTTGCTTTCCCGGGGATCCCCTTTCGAAGATCAGGTCCCCTTCGCGCCCTGAATAAGCTCCGAATGCCGCACGCGAGTTTTTTTTTGGGACCTCTTTTGGCATGATTGCATATTTAGGTTCATTCTTCAAGCAGACTCCAAACGAGCGGAAGCAATGGGGTGCTCTTCGGGTTACCCATTGGCATAGTGCTCATGATGCTTTTTTTGATCGAATGCTGTTTGAGACCATTTCGAAATCAGAGGTTGAAATACAGCAAGCCTTACTTGGCCGTTTGTATCCTCGCTTAGGATTGATCCCTGAGTTGTGGCGAATATTGTAATTGGGGGACTCAATATATAAGGATAAAGCACTGCCCAGTACTTGGATGCCAAGGCAATAAGTGGTTAACCATTTGGGGTACGGTACCCGAATTTCAAGGCTTACCTCACCTGGGGGACTTATAAATGGGTTATAACCCAGGCTACCAACTTAGTAACTTGGCCCAGCACCCAATCCAAGTAGGGTGGTCACGGCGGATATATATATATATATACCCTCCCAAAGCCAAAGATGGAACCTGACGCAGGGTCCGTCATAGAGGAAAAAACATCTTCCAGTTCTGTTTAGGGGTACATTCCGATTCTCCAAACATGCCCTCCCAACAAACATGGTGTCGGAGCACCGGTACCCTTCAGTGGGATTTGCATTAGCCAGCAATGTAAAGGGCTCCACACACATAGTCTGGGCGGTGCTTTCGGCTCGCTAACATTGTTCATTTTTTTGTGTTTGGACACACAAATCAAGAGGTCCTGTGATGGTTTGATTTGGTTTTCCTCCCCAGATGAACCTGGAACCCCAAAGACCACCAAAGAGGAGTCTGCTTTTGGGTCCTGGCCCCCGCACAGAGGGGGTTACTTCCATTGATAGCGAAGTAAGTTTTGAGTTAGCCCACACCCCATTCGGAAAAAACAACAAACTCCACCTACTCCAAATCTTGCTTAAGCTGATTGTTTGGCATCTTAACCCCCTTTTTTAGTCAAGGGTTGATATCGTCCACCATACCCTGAAAAAGCCGTGAGTATTGGGTGACTTCGAAACTTCATCGTTCGGAGGTCCACGAGGCTCTGAAGACCGTGGTGCGCCTCGGTGCGCTGAGGAATTCTGGGTGCCCACCTTTTCAAGGTTGGACCTCAAACATTCTGGGGAGTTCCATCGTGGTTTCCCTTGGAAAAAAGCAAACAAGGGGTAGCCTCAACTAAAAACATGGTCTGCTTTTGGTTTCCCTGGTGAAACAGAAAAACAGAAAAAAAAAACACAAACATGGGGTCCAACCTTGGTTTCCTTTTGGTTTCCCTTGGGGAGAAAAACAAAACCAGGGGCTTGTTCGGAAAAACAAAAGCAACAACGCACCCAGATGAGTGGGGCTCCCTAAAGGAGAGGTCGGCCCTGGCTGGTTGCGGGGAATGTTGGGGCCATCAGAATGGGTTTGTGTCACCCAGAAAGGTGAAGGATTTCCACAAGAAAACACCCCTATGGGCCAGGGGTTTATTCATGCTGCGGATGGGTTGCGAATTCCATTTCGCGAGTTCCGCCGTTCAGAAGCCCTGGAATTGTCTGATTCGATTCCCCAGCGCAAATGCCAAACCTGTTTCATTCCCCAGCGGAAACTCATGTCGTGGTGCGGTCTCGGAGTTCGCGTTCGGGGGCCTCAAGCTCGAGCAGCGTGCAGCGCGGGTTGTGGTTCCCTCTTAACCAGGGTGGAAAATTGCCGAAAGCCGAAACAAACACACACACACACACCCACACACCCACACAACATAGGAAAACGCCCTGTTGAGGGAACCACAAGAGAGCTTGTCTCATGTTTACATGGCTTTGTCTCGTTAAATGGGTCGAGCCAACGGTTGTTTTGGCATGGTGTGAAGGGGGAGACAACGAAAAGCGCTTGGATCCATTTTCAGGGGATCCCTATTTTCAGACAACCCCGCATTTCTTGGAATATCTGGCTCACCGAAGGGACGGTGTTTTTTCTTTGAATTTACACCAGCCGTGTTTATTTTGAAATTCCTCATTTTGGATTCTCATTTTTGTTCTTTTCTTACAGACGAAGCGAGCAAGTAAGTGAGTGAGCGACTGGTGGTTGCAAAGAAAAACAACAACCCGGTCCTGTGTGTGTGTGTGTTGTGTATGTGTGTGTGTGTAAAAAAAAAAAACACACCGAAACCCCCAGGAGTGAGTTCAAAGATAACACCTGGCCCCTCCAGGCGTGATTTCAAACAAAAAACACCTGAACCCCCCAGGCATGATTTCAAAATATGTGATGCCAAAGAAAAAACACCGGAGCCCTCACCGAAGTCTCATGTCAGGCCAGCCAGATAACACGGCATCAACCCCGGGAAGGTTACTGAGCAATGGCAGTGCATTTTGATTGCGAACCCCCTCAACATTGGTTGGTGGAGATATTCCCAACCGAAATTATGAGGTTTCTCAACATAGCCGTCCCCCAAATGGTTAGTTTGCTTTTGGTTTCGGCACATGATTCATGAACACCCATGAACACCCTTTGATTGCAGGCGGCCCGAATTTTTCAGCCAATACTAGCACTCACAAGGTTTGGCCAAAAGACCCCCCTGATTGTTTTGCGCCTTCTCAGAACCCCCTCTGATGAAAGGCGTCTCTTTCCGGCCCCAAATCCAGAAAAGCAAAAGCTGCCAATACTTTTGGCAATACTAGTCCCGTTTGCGGTCTCAAGGGTTGCCATCGGTTGCCATTCCCGAACTCGAAAAGAAGGCTAGCCGGGAACAGGGAAACCTTATTGCAAGTTATTTAACAACAAGGCTTGACGAGCTTGGAAAGGGTACCCCCTTCCAGGCTGGCCTCCCCGAATACCAGAACACGCCTGATAAATCCTGGCCCCCCCCCAGCCCGGGAAAATCGTAAACATGCAATTGTCCTCTCACTTTCCTATTGCAGTCAGGAAGGGACCGAAGAGGACTGGCCAGGTCCGAAAGAAGATCCAAGAACAGGGGAAAAAAGGAAAAATAACAAAAAACAAGACGCGGCCAGGCAAAAAAAACAACCCTCCGAAATCCGGACAAAAAGCCCGGGCGCGACCCAGGCTTGAGGAGCTCGAGCCAAAGGTGCAGGCAGCTCTGCCGGCCATGCCACTGGGACCCCAACAAAAAAAAATCCACGCCATTCTCTCTGGCGTTTTTTTTTTTTTTTTTTTTGCTTGTTATTTTTTCCTGTGGCGCATTTCTCCGGGGTTTTCGGGTCGCGCGCTGTTTTTTTTTTTTTTTTTTTTTTTTTTTTTTCGGGGGGGGCGCATGTCTCTCGGGGTGTTTGGGTTTTGGGGGCGGCCGGGCGGGTGGCTTTCGGGGGTCGGTCTGGTGACTTGCCCTGGGGAGACGACGGAGACTTGGCGTGGCCCTTGGTGGGAGACGAAGAGCCCGGGCTTAGTACCTGAGTCAAGAATTCCTACTCCGAAAATTGAAAAAGTACTTTTTGGAGTGGGGATTATTAACTTTCTGGAGATGCAGGTCCCCGGGGATTTCGACCAAGTGGTACCTTCGTCGGTATGCAGCGCGCTCAACCGAAATGTTCTGGGAATTGAACTTCGTTCCCCCGAGGGCAACCAGCAAGTGGTTTGCATTGGTGGCCCTTTTTGGTTGATTTGGTTGAACAAATATTTCGGGCGATTCCTGGTTTACCGGTGGTTTAATCAACTACCAGGGAAACCCATCTATTTTCCCAGAAAGGACACCTATGGTAGTTTGGCATCCTTTTGCTTTCGCTTAGTCGGTCTTCGTGTTGGTACTCTTTTTGAGATTGAAAGGGACAAAACTATTTGGGGTTTCCGCTATGAGACAAACCCACTTGACCTTCCGGACTGATGTGAACTTCGAATTTTCTCGAGGGCCAAAGTAAAGGGGGGCTCCCATATATTCCTTGGCTTTAAACACCTCTTTGGCCGGTTCAGGTGAGTTTCCCGTTGTTAGGGGTGATGCGTGTTACGGGCAAATATCGGGGGCACCCTTTAATCAGAGAGATCACTCGAAGACCAGCGATGGACTGCTTCACCAAGCAGCCAGGAGCCTCCCCCGCCCTATTTTATTTCAACATCCCAAGCTTATCGATTAAGGTATGGTACAGTCCATGCCCAAAATGTTGCTCGTAAACCCACCCTACCCATGGTAAATTGCAGGCAATTAGTTGTGTCCTTGTTGACTTACTTGCAATACTGCGGATGGACGAAATCCTGCACCACCTAAAAACCCTGGAATGATGGTTCCCTTGTGAATTCCAACAAACATGTTTTCCCATGGTTTCATAGTGGTGCGAAATGGATTTTGTCCATCCACAGTAGGGCGTCCACCGTATCACTCCATAGCGATTGAAGGTGCTTTTCCACTTTGCTGGCTCTCTGGCAACTCTCCCAGACTGAAAACTCTTTCTTCCCGCTGACTTTTCACACCCACAGATAGGTGTGTTTGTTTTCGTGGGAAGCAGTCATGATAATAAGCATGACAACGCATCTTTTGCATCTCAAATCGGATGATATTCATCACTTTGCATCCTCAGCATCACCAGCCGACATGATGATAATCATGACTACGCATTTTCTGCATCTTCAATCGGGTCTAACGGGACACTTGAAACGTATATCAAAAAGACAAGGATGGGCCCCAAAATGGGCTTCGGCGTCCTTTCCCGCAAAACAAACGGACACACACGCACATACACTTCACTTCCTGACTTCCTGGGCTTTAGTCACCTTGTGTGTTTGGACCACTTTAGTGGTACATAAAAAGTTTGGTTGCTTTTTTTGGGCCGTCCACTCGTTCGGCAGTGAGACTGCGACCCACCATTGTACATCCGCAGCAGGCACAGAGTAATAGACTCTCCAAGAGGAAAACCAAGGGACGTTAGCCAAAAGGGGTTCCCTTAACAACCATACCTACCCACATACATACATATATATTTACATAATATGTGTATATATATATATATATATTATACACACAGGTGCGCGTGTGGGTGTGCGAATGTGTGTATATATATATACATACATACATGTATACATACAGGTGCCTGCGTGTGTATACATATATATACACATATACAGGTCTGGGTGAATTATAACGACCTCATACGACCGAATTCACCCCAAATGGTTTATGTGGGGAAAAGCCCCCCCAAGCACCTTATTTCAGATTGAAATCTTATAATTCACCCAGATAAATCCACCTAAATGATGTCCACCCAGGGATCCCCTAGTAAATTTTTCATGCCCACGTAGGTGTTTGCTTCTTTTTCCTGTTGCACTGGCTGGGCCGAAGGGCTGTGGAGTTCTTCCTCTGAGCTGCGAGGTTCGGATCGCTGAGCTTCAAAACCTTCAACCTTGGCCCGGAGCATCCCCAGCTGCCACTCGCCTCGAGACGATTCGACCGATTCGCGGATCGGACCGGGGGGGGAATTCAGCCATGGCTGGAAGACGGGCTGCGGGAAACCGAAAGGAACCGCCTTCCATGCTTTCATGACTGGCTGGTCATTTTTTGTGGATGGTGCCCCAGAAACGTGGGTGGTTTTGAAGGGAAACCAAAAGGAAACATGCACGCACACACATGTTGGGGGGTCGGATGTACTAAAACAGACACGCCCAAATTCATGTTTGGGATTCTTTGACCGATACCTTGGTGTTTGTTTGATGACTTAGTTTGGGGCACCAAAGGAAAGCCAATGCTAGGTCCATGGTTCTAGGTTGTTGTCGCTGACTGGAGCAGTTTCGGCAATGATCATCAGTTGGAAGTCCATATCAAGTCTCCCATTTCGCTGAGAACCTCGAAGTTGGGTTCTGATATTTTTCGGTCCGCCGTTTGGGTAATCGAACCCTTTTCCCCCTGTATGGTAGAGAAAAGGCCGTCCGGCCTTTTTTTTTTTCCGCCCTGGGCAAGCCTGGATAGCAAATGGGAAATGCATAGGATGTCTCTTGGAAAGGCCCAGAGAAGACGACAAGACCTGCAATTTTCTCTTGATGTGGGGGTTTGTGGGAGGTGGTTTTCAACGGGCCTCGTATGAAGTGATCTTTGGGTTTTTGGCGGGGCTGCAAAATGTCCTGACCTGCCTTGACCAGCCGCTTGGACAGGCCAGTTTGATTGGTGAGCCCTTTGGTGGAGAGTGGGAACTCCTGGCCAAAATCAGTTTTCCAATGATACTAGCATCTCAACTTGGTTCTGCATCATTTGGCCAGTCTGCTTCAACACCACCTCCTACTGTACTGTGGGTGGACAAAACCCTGCACGACTTTGAAACTATGGCAAACCACTAGTTTGTTGCTATTTATGGGGATATCATCCTTCCAGGGTTTCTTGGGTGGTGCAGCCGTTGGGGTCGAGCAGTGAGTAGGATCTAGGACCTTTGGGTCACTCTTTCAGAATATAGTGGGAGTCATGGCAGCGATGGAAGTTGATCAACCAAAAAGGCATAGCATGTACACCCCGCCACCTGGAAGAGAAACGAAGAGGACCAAAAGTGAAGAAGCAATGCGCCAACCACACTTTGATGAAGAGCTGGTGCAGTCGAAGACGATGGGAGACATCATGACAGATCTCCAATCTCTGTCGGACGACTTCTCTCAACAGGAGTCTCAAGTGGCAAACGGCCGAGCGACAGCGGAAAGAGGCCAGCAGCAACATCTCAGTGAAAAACTGGTGGAAATATGAACCGCAGGGAAACAAGGATTACTACATGTTGGAATCCCACCGCAAAGCGCTGGTGCAGTACTACGCCATGGAGGCAGGCATCAGTGAGGACAAGTTGCGGGCATTCAGTTACTCCAACTACATGGGTCGCAACCTCTCTCCGTTCTGCGTGGTCGATGTGGGAAATGCACGGACCCGGCAGGTCTTTCTCGAGCACATGAAGAAAGCGCACAGCAACAGGGTGACCGAATGGATCGCGCAGGAGCAACAAGAGGGGCTGAAGACTCTCAAGACTGACCGAAGCAACAAGGCGGACGTCAACGGGAAGCTGGTCTTTGAGCCCATGATTGCCACGTTCGATAAGATCCAGAGCGTCCCCCTGAAGCTAGCGATGGCTACCGTCTCCGAGCTGCGTCCAGACCTGACTTGGCAGAAGGACTGGCAGCGCAACACGGTCTACACCCCGGACACGCGTGGAGATGTTCAGCAGTACCTAGTGTGGTGTGCCTTAGATCACCTACATGGGAAATGCATCGTGTACATCAACCAGGACGAGTTCGACAAGAAAGTTTTCCGCGACACCCTGGCCAAGCATGAGTACCAGTGGATGGCAAGAAAAGGATGGGGAAAAGGCAAGGGCAAGGCGCTGTCCATGATCGAGGGAAGATGGGCGAGGCCTTGAACCCGGAAGGCTCCTTTCTGGAACAGATCGGGCTTACCAAGGGTGCTGGAAAGGGAAAGAACGGGTACGGCAGTGTAATGGAGAAAGCGCTGAAATCTGTGCTGCCGTTCCGCATGGATGTACAGGCGATCGGCTCGACTGAGTACGTAAAGACGTACAACGAGCACCTGTACAGACTCCTGAAACGATGGAGCTGACTACGTCGTAGCAGTAGCAACCAGTGCCGTAGTAAGTGCCAGACACATAGGTCCGCCCAGAACATGCGTAAAAGGGCTAGGTACACATTGGATCCCTTTAACAATACCTTGTACAGGACAACAATACAGCGTAAACAAGACCGCGGCAAAACAATTGTGTCGCATACGGTCTTCCATTGCTACGGTAGGGGCGACCGTTTCCATAAGTACGTAGCTACCCCCTTGTGTCATACCAGTGGGCCAACTTCGACACAAGAGTCAATTGTGAGACGCATGTCGCCGAAGATGTCACCGAATATTTCACGGAATATGTCACCGAATATCTCACCGAATATGTCACCGAATATGTCACCGAATATGTCACCGAATATGTCACCGAATACTCATTCCCATGACGGGAAGAGAAAAGTAGTTCTAAAAAGAGTGCAGCCAGGGAGAAATGAATATAAGCAGAAAGGAATTACAAAGCACAAAGACACCGTAATGCTTTACACTCACTCACTGCGCGCGCCCACCCCCACAGGGAACGGTGGGAGACCCGCAGCAATATTTGCAGTGGGAACCAAGCGGCGCAAGACCCGAAGCCTCAGCCGGGGCATTTTGACTCACACAAAGAAAACTGCACTCATCTTAAACCACGCCAGTACAAACGCTCTGAAGAAGCCCAAGCAATGAGACGCGCAAACCGCAGAGCCCGACGAGCATTGAGAAGGCGGGAGTACAGAAGACTGAGGAAGTGTCACAAGGCTGAGGCTGAGGCTGTGCCTTGTCAGACTTATGAAACAGCTCAAGAATACCCTGCCGCAAATGCGCAAAAGCGTGCTAACAAGAGCCCAGAACCGCAGGAGCCAGATCCAAATCCTAACCAGCCAGCACAGCTGCAGTGGCGACACGCTGGAATAGCGACTCTGAATCTCGATGGGGGCATCACGCATTTCTCCGGGCGGGAAAAAATCATCAACCTAATGAAAGAACATGAGCTAGACATTCTTACCTTGCAAGAAACCAGGGTCAATGTAAATTCAGTGGAAGTTCATGATGGGTACACTTTTTACTTCTCCACAGACATAACGCACGATCAGAAAGCACGCGCTGACCAAAAACGGGAGCAACACAGACAGCAGCCACAGCCCAGCCTTACAGAAATCGAGCTGTACAATCTAGATGCTGAGAAGCACGGAGTAGCAATAGTGTACAGTCCGCAGCTAACGGCGCACAAGCAGAACGTCCAACAAGTGAATGGCAGAACGCTACTTGCGACTTTTAATACATACCCAGTTAAAACCAATGTGGTAGCAGCGTACGCCCCACATGCAGGACGCAACGAGCAAGAAAAGGATGAGTTTTACAGCCATCTTAATCACGTTGCTGCAGCGTTACCAAAGCATGAGATAAACATATTCATGGGAGACTTCAACGCGAGACTTATGGAGCAGCTAGGCCACGAAAGCAATGTCATTGGTCCCCACATTTTCCGGAACGACACGGACAACATCAGCCAACTCAGCGTCAATCAACAAGACAATAGATTTCGGTTCACGTCATTCTGTCAGGAGCATGAGTTGGTGGCGACCAACACATGGTTTGAAAAGCCATTGGCCAAACTGATTACACACCGCAATGCCGCAACACCAAACTACACACCTCCGTTTACGACTGACCGCTTTGGGCAAATCGATTACATCCTTGTCAATCACAAGTGGAGAAACGCAATTACAAATGTGGAAGCAAGCTCGCGACATGCAGTTAGCACTGAGCACCGCCTGCTGATTGTGCAGATCCGAGTCAAGCTTGCCAGAACACCAAAAAGACAGTGTCAAAAGACACCCAGATATAGACAACCCACAGTGGAGCAACTGACGCACTACAATGACCATGTGCAAGAAATGCTCCAAGCGTACAATAACATTGACCAGTCTGACGCCTTTCAAATCTGGGCAAAAATGATACACATCGCAGCAAACGAAACGTTCACCCGCGTCCCCCCATCCCAAAAAAAGATGTATATTTCCGAAGAGACTTGGCAGCTACTGCAAGAGAAACAAGCAAAAAACGAAAACAATCAGCGAAATGAGGCTCAGACACTGGAAAGGCAAATCCGCAGGCAAGTGCGCATAGACAGGCGGAAGCACATCAAATACCAACTTGAGGAAATAGACGCGCAAGGCTACAAATGGAACGGGCTCAAAAGACTACGGAAAAAGTTTGTGCCAAGACATTCTAAGTTCAAAGATAAGGATGGCAATTACATTACGGAGGCAGCTGCCAACCAACTACGGATTTTTTGGTCACACGCTCGTACCACTATCGCTTGGAAAATAAGGGTCCTAGACAGTATTGGGATAAGCAAATTGCTTTACAGTCTTGAAACAATGCAGCTAACAAAGAGTGAACAGAATAGGCTAGATGCCTGGCAACATAAAATGCTCAGGCGAAGACTGAATGTGCCACCCACGCATCTGGATCGAACATGGACAAACCAAAGAGTCGTAAACACGCTAACGCAGGCACACAACTACACGCATGTGAGCCTTTCAGCAAAATGGAAATCTAGAAAACTTACGTTGCTCGGGCACATACTCCGAGCCACAAGTGCTGACCCCATGAGAGAGGTCCTGTTCCACCCGCACACCAATATTCCGAGACAAGAACATATCAGGCGCGTAGGAAAACCAAGAGCTCATTGGCTGATTGAAACCTTGCAAGATGCACACAAGCACATCCATCCGGACCGAGTGTTTGACGCCAACAACCAAGAGCAAATCAACATGCTAGCCGAGAGAGCAAGCGCCAGGGCTGCCCCGTTCCATGCAAGAAGATGAGAAGTTCCAACGGAGAGGGAAGAGTCGAGAAACACCCAGTGATGTCGCACTGTCATATAATCTGTCACCGAAGATGTCAACGAATAGGGACTGCGAGAGATTTCAACTGCCTAGGGGACAACTGTGGTTCAACCTTTTCCTTTTACGGAGAAAAACCTCTGGCCTGCGGCACTGGTCACGGTACAGTTGCAGTAGGGTAACGCTCAGCTCTGCATCGAGCAGCGCGTGGCAAAAAAACAGTATCAATCCTGAATTGATTGGATTTGAATTATTTGGCAGCTCTGCTTGAACAATACTTGGCTTTTATGAGAATTCAAATATGACACCCTTGCTTACAACGGCTTCAATTTGGTGTTGACTAGATTATTCTTTCAAATTAGATTTTAAGGTGGTGTCCTTTCCTAGGTTGACTTGTTCAGTCTCTTAAGTATAATCTAGATATGATTTCAACAGACAGAAATCTAGTAGAATTCTAAAAACATTTCCGTCTTGAAGATAAGTTCAATCAGATTCTATTTAGAATTCTTATTTCAATGAATACATTGCCACTTCCTAGACTTTCTACTTTTTGATATGACCATTTTCGCGGTCACTGGATCCCAGTTGCCTTCGGCAAACCCTTGGTTACTTAAAACTAGGGAACTGGACTTACTGGGGTTCCCTCCTGCAGATTAACATGGAAGCTCCCAGGACTTTTTTGGAAGACTTGGTTCCATTTACGGGATCGACCAATTGAGGGAGCCTCCGGCTGTTAGTCTGAGAGAGTGTATCCACAGCTGAGAGGTTGTTTGCTATGTGTTGGTAAAGGTCGGGGAAATATGGTGATGTCCTTTCCCAGGAGTTGCTTGCCTCATGAGAATTAAGTAGAAATTAACAAGGAACGAATTCTAGTAAAGTGGTTGATTTCTGTTGAAATTGAAGCCAACGACAACTCGAGACCGTCCCCAAAAACAAAAGCAGAATCTGTGGGGGTCTTGGGCAGGCCAAGAGCTCAAGACTCTGCATTTTTAAATATGTTTTTAATATAATAATAAACATAATAATGCTAATAATAATAGTAATAATAATAGTAATAATAATAGTAATAATAATAATAATAGTTTTTGCGACACTCTCCAGTTTGGGGCTTTCTGTTTCGGTGAACAAGGATTGGGCGAAACGCTCGTAGAGTACAGCTGGTGGGGTCCAACTTCATTTTTTCGGTCAACCGCGGCCCAAAGGCAGGCCGAAAGGATGTCTGAAACTCAAAAGGGACAACAAATACCGTTTTTCGTTTCACCCGTGACAAAGGCTTGATCATTGGTGTGGCTTTCATGGTTTCTCGGGCCACTGGTTTCAGGCAAAGGGCACTGTGAGCTTAGGGGTTCCAAAGTTTTGGTAAACCTTGGATCTCCGGTTCATACCTTTGATCGGTGAGTTGGGGTAAACATAGATGGACAACGTCTGGCTTAGACGGGTTTTGTGCCATTGCAGGTGGAGTTTCACCCATCTATGTTACCCAAAGGAGTTCTGACAAATTGAGGAACCCCACCTATTTTACAAAAAGGCAATGATTGGAAGCTTGGATGTCCAATTCAGACAATTGCAAACCTGTTACCGGGGTTCCCATCGATTAAAAAACCGATAGGATCTCGAGTTCATATTGGGCTCGACAAGTTTGTCCTCAAAATTGGGGACCCTTGCAGGAAGCGGGTTTTTCCCTTTGGGTGTCCCTTCAAAGACGGAGTCCCCAAATTTGGAGCAACGCCCCACGTGGCCGAAAAGAGGATGGAGATCGGCGTGGCCCACGGGAAGCAGAACCACTACGACGGCCTGGAGCTGGACGTGAAGATGGTGTGGAACTGCAACGCAGACATCGTGCTGGAGGCGGGCGTGGGCCGAGGTTCGGGCGCCTTTTTTCTTGGCCCATTTGTCGGGGGCGACCCATTTTTGGGGGGTACCGTATTTTTGAGCCACAGCCAAAAATTACTGGAGGGCACTTGAAAGCCAACTAAACAAGGTATAGGGCCTGAATAGTTGGAGTTGCGTACACGAATCAAGCCACGAGGTCTGCCACCATGTGGGGTCCCAAAGCTTTGGACTGTGGACACATTCCCGCACTGGCCAAGGTGATTGCAAACTCCAAGTGCCCAGTGGTTCCATTTACCTAGCAGGAAACCAAGGGCTTGCCGCCCGATTTGAAAACCAAATGGAATGGAAAATGGCTGCCAACTAGACTGATGGGTAAGGAAACCGAGTGAAACCAAGGGAAGTGGGGATGGTCGAAGGCTCAGGGAAAAGTTGACGGGAAACCAAATATGAGGGGAACCAAAGTAGGAAACTAATGCCGAAACCAAATCTACTGGTAACTGGGATCCACTGGGATGGCATCGAATGATCCATAGGGAAACCCCAAAAGGGTTACCAAGGGCAAGGGCATGGATGTGCACTTTTGCACTTAGGGCAACCCACTTTTTCGAGGTTACCAACTAGTTTTGAGCCACACCCTTATACGGGTCTGTCATTTTTAAGGGGACCCCCCAAAAAACAGACCACAAAAAGGTGTGCCAACTCCAAAAACACACATTAAACATCGGTTTCCCTTTTGGTGTCCCTTTAAAACCGCCAAAATTCAAACCGGGGCTGCTCGCTCCACGCGCTCGATGTGCTTCGATCGATGCGGCTTTGATTGTGCTGCAGGTGCAGGGCATCGAGATCGGCATCGAGAAGATCCGCATCGACGGCACGGTGCGGCTCCAGCTGCGGCCGCTGATGCCGCAGCTGCCCACCGTGGGCGGCGTGCAGCGCCTCGGACTAAATGATGTCCACCAGAGGGTCCCAATTGAAATTCATGCCCATATGGGAAAATTAACCGTGGGATTCGTTTCGAAGGAAACCATACGGGCGACGTTTTTTTTTGTCGGGGTCATTGGGTTTCTGCATCTCTCGCAGCGATCGCTTCCGGACTCGATTGGCCGAATTAATTTTCACTCGATGAATTGGTTCCCCTTGGATCCCCTTTTGGGTTCCCCTCTTCTTTGGGTTTTCCTTCTGGGTTGCCCTTTTCCCCTTTTGCTTCCCTTCCCCCTTGCTTCCCCTTCCCCTTGCTTTCTTGCTTCCCCTTCCCCTTCCCCTTGCTTCCCCTTTGCTTCCCTTCCTGCAAAGCCAAGTCGAACCGAACCGAGCCGAACCTCAGCCGCCGAACCGACCCACCGATCGACCGCTTGCCACCGACCCACCGATCGACCGCCCGCGAGCCGATCGGCGGAGCGAAGCGACGGGCCGAGGATCACCATGATGTCGCCCCCCAACATCTCCTGGAGCTTCCGAGGCCTCCTTGCGGCCCTGCAGGCGAGGGAGACTTCCACGAACGAAGAAAAAACATTTCTCGGCCGGTAGTTTTTTTGGGGGGGCGCCCAATGGCCCAGGGTTCCCGAAAAGAAAAGAAAAAAATAAAAGACAAACAAAAATACCTTTTGCAACCAATTGAAACATGTGGCTTTTTCAACACCGAAATAAAGGGAAACCGCCATTTCACAAGGTAATGTTCAGGTACATTATAATGTAAGGATCCCTGAAGAAGGGGGAGAAAAGCGTCACACCCCCTCCAACCTCCCCGCCGCTTTTGGAGGGTATCTGTTTTTGTTGGTGAAACCGTTCTTAACACAATTTTTGGGGGGAAGCCATTTTTTCAGGGCCATTTTTTGGAGAAAGCTTGGATCTTCAGGGTAAATACCTCCCTTTTTTTCTTGAGTCAAGGGTTGACATGCGCTACTAGACCCCGAAGAAAGTGGAGATTGGCAGGGGGCAAGAAAACATCTTAGCTTACCCCGATTACAGTACCCCACAATCCCGTTCGAATTAAGGCCAGAAAAAGCCGAAGAACACGCCCACAAAAGCTTTGGTGTTTTTGTTTTGCCTTCTTGTGTGGGTCCCTATTTGTCCTATGCTGGGATCCAGTGCTGCGAACATAGAAGCCAGCAGGACTTTCTCCAGACATTTGCCAAACACTCACCAAACCCAAGGATCTCCAGAGGTTCTTACCTCACCCACACCTTGAAATCTCAGGTTGCTCCCTAGATGAACATTGAACTCCAAAGCTTGCCGGTGCGATAGGCAGGTGCCCTGAGACATGGAATGGCACCAAGGGAAGCAATCCAACTGGTGGCTTTTCGTGGGAACCAAAGCCTGGGTTCATTCCATGTCTAATTCTTACCTCTTAAAAACACAAGTTTTTAACTTGTTGGGGGTAACATGGGCTACATGGCTGTAAAAGATTAACTTCCCCAGGGCTTGGAGTTTTAAGGGGTAAGAATTCCCTGCCCATCGCAGCAAGAGTCGCTTGACCTGCTGCCACTCGACGGCAGGTGGACGTGGTTAGCCGGGTGATGCGGCAGGTGGTGGCGGATCAGATCTCGGAGATGCTGGTGGTGCCGTTTTTCGGCGGATGTTGTGTTTGACGTACTCGTGTTTGGTGAAGCATATTTGATTGGCTGCTTCTAGCTGGTTTCGGGATTTACTTGTATTTGTATATGTGTATTTGGTGAAGAATATGTTTGTTGGCTGCTTCCACCTAGCGGTTCTGGTTATCCCTTCATCTTTGAGATGTCCATTTGCTGAAATGAGTATTTGCGTAATTTCCCCTGTCGGTTTTGAAGGGAATCGATGTCACTACTCGACTGCTATGATTATTATGTTCTCTTTCCAGGGACGTAAGCAAACGGAGGTTTATTACTTATTTATGTCAATTTGCTTTTTGTCGAAGGGGAAGAGGTGAACCACTTGCATGACCGGCCCATTTGGAAAGTGGTTGAACAGATTGGTCATCTTATTTGGGTATGGGTCAAAATTCAACCACCAGGGGACCGCAGGTTTTAGTCCATCTTTCCATTTACCAGGGTTCCATTTTGGGCACGTATTTTTGACCCACAGCCATTTGATATGTTTCATAGGCAGGCACTTGCCCTACGTAGAATCCACTTCCGGGATGACTCAAGCAGTGATGCGGCAGGCGGGATGCGGGAAGCTTTTTTGGCAGGCATCAAGCCTGCTTCAACTGGGGTCATTGTTTTGACGGTTTCTGGGGGTTGTCAAAGTCAGAAAATGGAATCGGTTGTTTCCCTTTAACCCACTACTTAGGGGTGAATTTGACGGTAATCTGATGAGGCCAGTTCAAAACAGGAGACAGAGGGTAGATCCTACTTGGGGGGTTAGAGTCTTGTCTAGGTCCCCAGCTAGGTGCCCTTTCACCCACTTTTTCGGTTGGGAGGGTTCCCCTTTGTCTAAAATAGAGCACAGAAGAAAGGGTAGCACTATTCTAACCTCTCTACTGGAGGACCTAGTTGCATGACCACCCAACTTGGCAAGTGCTCAAGAACCACTACTGTGGATGGAAACAATCCCGCGCCAGTCGGGATGAATGGAGCCCTGTAACTATTGAGACACATCCCCTATCAACTGGGTGCAGGTTTTTTCCGCTAACAGTGTTGCACAAGTCCACCAGGTAGGATTCACCCAAAGCCTTCCTTTTGGCTTCCAGTCCTTTTTGCCAGCCCCAAAGCAACCCTCCTTGTGGCTTCCAGTTCTTCTTTGCCGGTGGTTTTTAAGTGCCAGCCCCAAACCATGGCGCCCATGGAGTCGGGGACTAGCCCACAAGTCGGCAGTCACGAAGGCAGTCAAGCCGCTTCCTCGTTTTTCCAAGGAACCTGATTTTCATCCACTGGCTGGACTCGGCCTCCGACGTGGACCTCGAGGTGAGAGTCGGGTCCACGACCGATGGCTCTTGTCGGAAGATGTGATTCTTCACCCCTGTGCCAAGAAAGGTGTGCCAGGTGTCAACTATTCTATGCTTTTGGGTAGCCTAAAAATGGCACAGGGGCGGAAGATACTGAGAAAATCCGGTTGAAACCATTGTTTGTTGGTATTTACAGGGGCAGCATCCTTCCAGGGTTTCTTTGCTGCAGGATTTCGTCCATCCACGGTATGATTCACCCAGTGCCAAGAAAGGTGTCAAAGTTGGGCCAGCGTTTCCACCAAAAGAGGCTAGGGCTTACCTCTTGTGACATAGAGAGAGGTGTGTGGTGTGCCAAAGGGAGAAGCTTGCTGAGTGGTTTTTTGTAGAGAAACTTTGTGAATCGTTCCTTTGGATAAAGTTGGTGATTGGTTTTCTTTAGACAAAAAGAGTGAATAGGTTTCTAGAAAGGAAATTGGTGAATGGTTGTCTTTGCAGAACATTGGTGAATGTTTGTAGATAAAATTGGTGAATGATGTTCTTTAGAGAAAATCGGTGAATGATGTTCTTTAGAGAAAATTGGTGAATGATGTTCTTTAGAGACCATTGGTGAGTGGTTTGTTTAAGATAAAGTTGCTGAATGGGTCTCTTTAGAGAACATGGAGAAAACTGTTGAATGATTTTCTTTACATAGCAGAGGTGCAGGTTCTTCTTTAGAGCAAGTTGGTGAATGGTGTTCTTTAGAGAACATTGGTGAACGGTTTTCTTCCTTGACCATTGGTGAATCGTTTTCTTCAGAAAAAAAAAACCAGGCACTTTGAGAATGGTTTTTGTTTGGATACAATTGGCGAACGGTTCTGTTTAGAGAAACAACCTGACGGTTTTGTTTTTGGTTTCCACGAGGGTTTCCAATTTCTAGCCTGCCGACTGGTGGCAACGAGAGAGGAGCTAGTTCCCCTGGCTTCCGGGGAATGGTTTTGGGAAAAAAAACCTCGGGGAACGGCGAGTGCAGTGACTCTGCTGCCCAGTGGCGCCTGTTTTTTTTCTCTTTTTTTTGGGGTAAGGGTTCCCCTTTAAACTCAACCCACAAAAGACCTCGGATGCCCTATTTTTCCCATGGCCACTGGGCATCTGAGGTGAGTGCAAGCAACCGCCGCACTCGAAAAACCAAGCAATTGCACCTCCTGGGAGTTCCGTGAATCAATGGCTCCGCAACGGGACACCATTCCTTCACTGTTTTTTTGCACGTTTTGTTTGTTTTGCTTTTCGGTGCTGTTCATTGGGGGGGCCGCAACAAACAAGTGGTTTGATACCACACCAAGGTTTGGGACTTTTCCCAACAACTGTAACCATGTTGAGGGCTCCAGAAGAACGTATTAAGATTCCATAGACCAAAGATCTCTGCTTCCGGGCCCTTGCCACATACTTGTAGGTGCTATGTACCAACCTTTGCCCCATGAGAGTTTTTTGAGGACCAAAATGGGACAAAACACAAAACGGGACCAGTGTCCAGTTCCCATTCTTTTGCTTGCTCAAAACCCCCCACAAAACAGGTTTCAGAATGACTAACTGCAGCCCTAGTTCTATCCATGGTCATAACCTTACTAAGTTGGTTCAGCATCCAAGCAGGTGAGTTTTCCGGTGCGTCCTTTGGCCACCACGTCTAGAGGGCTAAACCCAACCTAAACACCAAACCAAACCTAAAAAGCCAGACCAAGTCTCAAATTTCACCAGGCCTAGCAAACCTGAAACCCAAGTAAACACGAACCCCTAAGTCTACCCAGACCCTTTGCCCAGCATTAAACAAAAAGCAACAACAATCAGGATAGTTGTTTTTGACCCACGTCTTTACCCCGTAAAGGAAGGAAAACACCAAGCAACACCTCTAGTTCACCGCGTCGTGTTGTTTTTTTAGCAAAAAAGACAATCCACAAGAAACAAACCAACGCTTATACTAGCAACACGTCTAGTTCACCGCGTCGTTTTTTTTTTTTTTTTGTTGAGAAAGCACAAGCCACAAAACCAAAAAACCGCTTTTCGCCTGCCTGCGAGGTGCTCCAGTTCCCGCACCCGGAGTGCGTGGTGCGGCTGTGCATCAAAGAGGCCCGGGATCTGCGGGGCTCCGACTGGAACTACTTCGGCTTCAACGGGACCTCGGACCCCTACGCCGGGGAGCCTGGCTTGGGGTTGGGGGGGTGGGTGGGTTGGGTGGGTGGGTTGGGTGGGTGGGGGGGTTGGGGGGGGGGGGTTGGGGTGGATGGTTGGTGGTGGATGGTTGGGGGTGATGGTTGGGGGGGTTGGGTTGGTGGGGGGAGATGGTTGGGGTGGGAGGTGGGGGGTTGGTGGTGGATGGTTGGTGGTGGATGCTTGGGGGTGATGGTGGGTGGGTGGGTGGGTGGGCGGGCGGGCGGGCGGGCGGGTGGGTGGGTGGGGGCGGCGGGTGGGTGGGTGGGGGGGCGGGTGGGTGGGCGGGCGGGCGGGCGGGTGGGTGGGTGGGGGGGCGGGTGGGTGGGTGGGCGGGCGGGCGGGCGGGCGGGTGGGTGGGTGGGTGGGTGGGTGGGGGGGGGAAGTTGGCATCTTCAATTATATGTTCTTAGTGGGATAATGTAGGGCGAACTGTAGCCCGAGTGAGGCGGGGCTTGCAATCCGGGTGGTTGCATCGCCAGACTTCGCTCACCGTTTGGCTCTTTTTTGCGCTTTCTGGGGGGTGGGGTTCTGCGTCGACCCTGTGAGCCAGCACCGAGTGAGCTTTTGTAGGTGTCGGGGTAGCTGGTAAGGCATAGCTTTGCAGGGTCAACTGACCGTGGCACATGTGCCAGTTGAATTGCCATGCCCTCTACCCTCCCCCAAACTAACATGGAAGCTCCAGGACCCCTTTGGAAGACTTGGTTCCATTTACAGAGGCAGCCTCGGAGCTTCCATGTCAGTCTGAGGGAGTGTATGAACCCACGGAAAATTTTCAAGTCGCTGACTTTTGTGGAATCTTTAGAGAGGCGGTCCATCCTGATTTTGACCAACTGGACATTTCGACCGCACCTCACAGGGGGGTGTCAAAGGCGGGATGCACAATACATTGGATCTCTTTTGGCTTCTTAGACCGATCTAAGACAGGGTAGCCTCGAAACATGAGCCAGGGTGCAACCAAATGTGTTTTAACCGCTCCATCCCATCATGTAGAGTTCCTAAAAATATCCCATATACCTTTTACTTCAAGCTTGTCATGATGAATAGTTCTTTCATAGGGTGTCAGGGGTATGCTTGGATGGATCCAACAAAAACATCCAAGAACCCTCCAATATACCTTTGGAGCATACCAACCAATGCATCCCATGAAGATTCCTTAGGGTGTCAGGGGTATGCTCAATGTTGATTGTCTGGGAAACAAGACACCCTTCGTTTCTCGCGTAAAACTTGCTTCAGAAGCCGGAGATGCGGTTGCTTTTGCTCACAAAAACATACTCTACTGAAAGGTAAAGTGTGCAAAGTTAGACTTGCTTGGATGTCCCACTGTAAACCGATGATTTGCGAACTACCAAGAGCCATACAATGCCCTTCAAACGACCGCAAGTGATTTGGCCACTTGCCGGTGACATAGGGCACCAAGCCACTTTTCAGGAGTTGTGTTGTTTGATTCTGGCCATGAACCAGAACATGTTGCAAGAGCTTTTATGTCAAAGGGCACCAAGCCACTTTCAGGCTTGTTCTTGATTCTGGCAGAATCACCACCTTTTGGAGAGCTGGACAGTCAAGCACGAAACCCAGGCCAAAATCGCTAGTTTTGTTTGCTGATTTATCAGGTCCCAACGGGGTACCAACGCGCTAACACATTTTGAGGGGGCACCCGTTTTCACCGGGAAACCTAAATTCGGAGAACCGTTGCAACCCTGTTTGACCAAAAAATGTCCTTTCTGGTGATAGATGGCCCTGCCAGCACCCCTGAACAACTGTGTTTTTTGGGTTTTGTTTTTTTTTTTTTTCCAATGTGCAACATTCCAAGTTCTACCCAAAAAAGAAGTGGTTGGGGGATGCTGGTGGTCGACCTGGTTTCGTAATCTACCACGGAGATCCATCTATGTTCAACCAAAAGAACACTTACTGTGGATGGACAAAATCCATTTACCACCGTCCAGAAACCTTGGTTTCAGATGATTGCCCTGTCAATACCAACAACCGTTATAGTTTCAACCCTGGTTTCATTTCGTGGTGCGAAACGGGTTTCGTCCACAGCATGAAGGGAACCATGACGATGACCATAAGGGAAACGCTGAAGTGCGGGGGGGTTCGGCCGACCTTTTGACCTCGTGGTTTGCCCTTTTTGGTCCATGTCTCGTCATGGCCCCAAAATGTGAGCACCTTTTGTTTGCGTGTCCCATCCGGGGCAACTGACACCCATAAACAAATCCTGAGGGGGGGGATTTCGAGGATGTTGAGTCAAACCAAAAAAATAACACAAAATACAAGTAAAGAAAAGAACCCAACAACAAAACGAATGGAAAAAAAAGGAAAACACACCTCCGGGCCCGTTGGATGGAAGTCTCTTTCTCGTTTTTTTCCGAGGTGTCGGTGCACTTGGGCTCGCACCTCTGGCACACGCCCCAGAAGACCAGGACGCGGAACCCCAAGTGGGGCCACGAAGGCGCCGAAGATGTGGGTCGAAGCGACGAGATCCCCCGGCTTGAGCTGGGCTTGCGTGTAATGTTGACCCAGGATTCATAAACCGGTCCCACTATTAGGGGGGTGTTCCCTCCCAAAGTGGTCTGAATCCAACCACTAAAAGGGGACACCGCCCTATTAATCAACCAGGGGTTTATGAATCCGGGGTTAACATTATGCTGTTGCCACCGCTTAACGGGGTGGGCCCCTCGGTTTGAAGTTTCAACAGGAAAGCAAGCAGACATCTTGGGGCTCCGAAGATATCCCGGTTTTGACACATCCAAAGGAAGAGATCCCGAGGCATTTGTTGGTACCGTTTTCGGGGTGGCTCCCTTGGTTTGAAGGAAATGTTCAACAGGGATTCTAGGGGTAGCTTCCACGTCCATTCTTAACCCAGGGATCCGGATCTTTCTAGAACACCTCCGGTTTTGTGGTGGGGAAATAGCGATGGGTGTTTGAAAAGAACGATGGTTGGAAAGAATGGGGAATCAACCCCAGAAAGATGGTCGGAAGAGATCCCAAGGCATTTGTTGGTACCGTCGTGGGGTGGGTCCCTTGGATTGAAGACATGTTCAACAGGAAAAAGGAAACAGAAATGCTGGTGTATGTTCTCTTGGTAGACTCAACCCATGGGTGCTTGAGTTCTTCAAAGGGTTATTTGGGGATGTACGTTCGTTCAAGGTAGACTGAACCCCATGGGTGCTTGAATGCTTGAACGGGTTTCCAGGTGAGACTTCCGGCGAGAATCTCGAAACCGAACGTTGGGGTGCTCGCAAGCCTGCTCATGACCACCCTCTCGAGGGTACACAAACGGTGTGCGAATGAGGCCAGTTTTTCATGTGGCTTTGAAACAAAACATCTGGAGGACCCAAAGGGGTGGTTCTCCTGTGAAAGATATCTTCAGCCTGGAGGCCTTCATGGGAACCCCAAACGTCGCTGGTTTCCTTTTGGTGTCCCATGAAAACCAACCAAAACGGTACCCCGCACAAAGAAGACACACTCCTTTATGTGTATACATCTACATACCTCAGCCTTTGGGAGTTGCGCAACCAACAGGTGCACGCCCTCTTTCAGCTTCGATTTCAATTGGTAGATCCACAAGATCCGGTTCAAACCCCCAAACCAGTCCAAACCACCGAGTCAGGGTCACCTGACTCTTGTTTCTTGGGTAGACTCCTCTTCGGCGGTTTGCTGCGCGTTTCGTTTTTTTCTTCCCCGACTTGGGTAGACTCCTCTCTTCAAAGCGCAAGGCTACCACGACTTCTTCGTGTACACGCCCAGCCAGTTTGTGAAGGTGGACATCTATGACTCGGACATCGGGCCAGGCCCTTGCGGGCCAAAGGCCCCCAAGTTGGAAGGTTTTCTCAGCACTCAGAGGCTCCTGGCTTCGGCTTTCAATGGAAGACCCGACCCCGAAGCATTAGACCCCGGAGGTTGTTTGGGGGTCTCAAAACCAGGTTGTTTTGAAGGCCCTAAATCAATCGGGAGCCTCTGGGCATGGTGTTTCCCGTTTTGGTTGGCAAAGAAACACCAAGGGAATTGTTAACCATTTTGCAGGACCGAATCCTATTTGGAAAAACCACCCAATTTTAGGAGCTTCTACGACCGGTGCCCCATTTTGGCCCAATTTGACCCATCCAATTGGAGGGATGCTGTCCCTCCAATATCCAGTTTGGGGCTTTTAGGGCCCAAGTTTGGGACCCGTTTTCAGTAGTCACCAGTTTTGGGGTCTGACCTATGAAGAATCAGAAGCTCTGATTTTCTGCGGCCCAGACTTGGGCTATTTTCAGAGGTACTTGGATGTTCGATTTGCCAAGTAGGGATCGCCCTTTGCGGTTTTTTATTCCCTCATAACAAGTTGTTAACCCCATGTTCACAGGGGGGTTACACCCTAGGTTACAGCCTAGGTTACAGCCTAGGTTACCAACGCCGAGCACCCAAGTAGCTGTCCGCGGTTCAGCGTTGTCGCTGAAATGTGGGGGCCCGTACATCCATCCGGCCTCCGGCCGCTCGGGATTTGGGATCGCTTTCTTCCGGTCCGATTCGGGTGGTGAAAGAAACGAGGGTTCAACTGCATGCTCAAGCATGGCTTTGGAGGAATGGAGGCTAATGTTGACCCCGGATTAATAAACCCCTGTGCATTAATATGGGGGTGTCCCTGGTTTTAGTGGGGAATCAGACCACTTTTCGAGGGGAACACCCCCATATTAATAAGCAGAGGTTTATTAATCCGGGGTCCACATTGCCACTTATACCAGGGGGATATATACAGCCCTATATTTGTGGTCAAGCCTCCATGCCTGGAAATCCTCATCCCTGAGTCACTGCGAATGTGGTCAAAACAATCTTGAATAGGCGCACTTCTTTTTTCAAAAGATGCATTTCGGGGGACGATCAATGTATGAGGTATTGAGCCCCACGCCGTTCTAACTATTTAGCCCTTCAGGCCCAAGACGGGGTTGAGGCTCGAGTCCCTCTACACCCAATACCTCACTCCCGATCGAGTTCATAGACTTTCGTGACTTGGGTTTGCACCATTTTAGTTGTAAATAACAAGTTTGGGAGTTTTGTTGGCCAGTCTACTCAGGAAGTTGGATACCCACTGCAAGGGTGCATTTGGGCGTGAGGCTACCCCATTGTTTGGTGGGTTTAACGGGGAACCAAAGGACAACTACCCATTTTATTTTTGGGGCGCCCCTGAAAAGAGACCCACCCATTTTGAAACACACCTCCCTTCTGAGGTTGACCTTTCGTTTCCACTTGTTGGTTCTTTCTTCATCAAGATTCCAAGATGGTATCCTTTTATTTCCAGGCCTTTTGGGCAAGCGAGGATAGCATGACATTGATGCAACAAAAAGACTGGGTTTTGGGTGATTACCGGTGGTCAAACGGCCAACCCCTCCTCCAACCCCTCCTTCCACCCCAACCTCGACATTTCGATCGTCGACGTTTCCGTGGATCGAACGTTAGCTGCTGTTGGGTTGGATCTTTCACCTTTAACTGAGTATATGTTGTTTGCTTTAAGGCTACCCCAACATTGTGGATCTCCCTTTGTTTTCCGTGTAAACCCGCAAACAAAGGGGATACCCTCAAAAAAGTCACCGACCCCAAAAATCAAGAGGTGCGATGTTGTTGCATTGCATGCCATTTCCAGAAGCCGCGATGCTGCCTGCTTCACGGATTTCGGCGGCAGCCACACTTTTTGGTTGAAGATGCAAACAAAGTAAACAAGTAGAACAATTGGTTGCAAAAGAAGCACAGCAGAGGATTCATTGGTTTAGAAGACATGTTTCCCCAAGCAACTATGGAGTCAAGCCGGGTGGTCCAGGGCAGGGGGTCTGCAAGGCTCCCTGAGGAAGCTCAATCCAGACCACCAAGTAGACTTAAGCTGAGGTAAGGTTCCCCAAGCAACACGTAACGCCACAGACGCCGAAAACCGACTCTTGCGAGAAAATAAAAACAACAACCATGAAAAAGCTGTGGAATGAGGGAATGACATCCCTCTCAACCATCCAACTGGTGGTTTCCTTTATTCGGGAATCTCTGGGGCCATTCCCACATTCCCTACTTATCGCAGCCAGGGTTCCACTTTCTGACTACCCAAGATTCCAAGATGTATTGCAGCCAGGGTTCCACTTTCTGACTACCCAAGATGGACTTTAAACCCAGGGGTTCTCCTTTTGGGGGGAATGAACAAGCCCTGGGTTTAAGTCTACCCGTGGTCAAAAAGTGGAACTCTGACCGCAGCAAGAGAAACGTCGTAGGCACGGACGACCACCTGGGCTGCGTCGAGGGTCTCACCGTCGAGGCTCTCTTGGAGCGACCCATCTGGTGGCACCTCGGCGTCGAAGCGGTCGGCGAAGCGGACGAGACGGACCGGGCCTCACCCGAACTGGGTGGGGTGGTCCTTCGGGTTTCCCTGGTACGAAACCAAGCCAGGGATACCCTCCAAAAAAGGAGCACGCCCACCCCTCTCCATGTTTTTGCGTTCCTCCCTCCGTTTTGGAAGGGTGAAACCCTTCGATCTTCGCCGTTGCCACCTATTTCTTGTTTCTTGGAAGGGGTTCTCCTTTTAGAGAGAGGCTGGGTGTTTGATTCCTTGATCGCCGGGCGTGTCCGTTGACCGGGTCCGTTTTGGGTCCCAGGGGGTGGCCGGGGGGGGGGGATGCTGGGGTGAGTCAAAGCAATTGTTGGGTCAGTTCAGTGGAAAACCGATTCTTTTTCCCAAATTTGTTTGGTGGCTGGTCTTCCCCGAAAACGGTTCCCACTTCTTTTCTCAGGGTCACTGAACAACTGAGAAAAATGCCGGGGGCATGCGGGCCTACAACCACATCTCTTTTTGGAAGTCTCAGATCTTCGAAACGAGCTGGGGGTAAGCCCTGACCTCTTTGGGTTTCGCTCTGAACCAATCCGTGGCTTGGGGATTTCAACCCCCGCTTCTCCTTGACGCCATAATATATGGTACTCCCTCCAACCGTTTCAGCCCAAACTGACAATTGGGGGGAGAGGGTGGGATCGCCTTTGCTTGGTTGTTATGGTTTAAGCTTGACTAAACATGGCTGTCCCAAAAACGGTATCTACCTTCTTCTTCTTTTTTTTTTGCGGGGGAGGGGGGGACGGCCTACGGGTGTTCGGCCAAGTTAGTAAGTTGTTTGTATCCTTGGTGCTGGGTTATAACCCACTTACAAGTCCCCGCAGTGAGGTTGACCTCGTTGTTAGGGGGTTATGCCCGAAGTGGCTAACCACCTACTAACTTGGCAAATCGAACATCCAAGTAGGGTTCCTTGCTTTTCAGGGAATGAGGGAACGACTTGCCACAAACTGTACCATTTCAAATCGCCCCGTTTTTGGACTCCAAACCTTTCGAAAACGACCGGCTTTTCCATGAAGACTACAGAAGGTTAAACCATGTGCTCGTTCGGGGAGCTTGAAGCAACCCTTGTGGTTTCCTTCATGCAGAGTTTCTCCACCCACGGCTCTTTGGGGTTCTTCAGCTTTCTCGCTTCCCGTTCTCAAATTCAGGATTTGTCTGTGGGAGTTGAGTCCATTCTTTTTTTGCGGATGCCTGGGTTGCGCCGAGCTTCGCTGCGCGTTTTTGGGGGAGCTTCGCTTCAGCCGCGTGGGATGCGCGTCGCGCATTTGGTCCTTGCAACCGCTTGCCGCAAGCTCGGCTGGAGGGCCGCACCAAGTTGAGGGTTTCGAGCTGGTGGAAGTTGGGTGGGTCGGTTTTGGTTTCGGGCTGGTGCAACAAGGGCAACCAACAGGACACGGATTTGGAGGTTCAGACAGAATACGGGCCCAAATGTAAGGTCATACCTTGGGTTAAGGGCAAATGCTGAGGGAGGGTAACTCTGCAAGCCGAAAAGCCTCATATAACTCCGCCAAATCCGCCCGCACGTTTGGGATCTCATTTTCTCCCCCACCCCGCCGGGTGCTCGAGCAAACAAGAGCCTTTTCAGAGTGCCGCAGGCTTTGCCCAAGCATCTGTTTATCATAAAGGTGCCTTGCTGCCAGGTTTTCATAGGCTCTCCCGAATGAAGATCCAATATACGTAGAACAGAGCGACATTTGTTGAACCAGCCCCCTGGGTCCGCAAGGGCAACCAACCAGGAAGTTTCATGCTTGTTGTTGGGACACATTTTGCATTTTTGCCTCTTGTGGTTTAGTGGTTGAAATTTCCCATCGAACTGCAGATTTTCAAAAATAAGTTGTTGCTCCCCAAACCCAACGTCAACCAAGGTTGTTAGACAATAGCGGCTACATGTTTCAAGGGGCTGGCCAACCCCAGAGTTGGTCTTCGTCTATCGACAGGGTTGGGAAGTGTCGACAACTTCTTTGTTGCATCCAGTGACAAAGTCATCTCGTTCGTTGACGTCGAAAAAGGGCTCCACAAGTGGCCCCCGTTGGAAGACTTTGTTCCATGCACGGTGTCCTTCTGCGAGCTTCCATCTTAACCTGAAGGATGTACGTAAACAAGATGGCCGCTGCATAAGGATCGCGCAAGCAATGCACCCATCGGCTTACACTTCCTCGAAGGCTTTCACGGGATGTGATCAATCGCAGCCGCTTTCCCCAGGACACAGAAATCGGCCATGTGTTGCGCGCATTTTTCTCCAGACCCCTCTATGAACAGTTACCCAGGGACGGGTTGATGAGAGGCCTATTGATGAAATTGCTCCATGGGGCCGATGATTGGTTTGTTGATTTGGGGGTGTGGAGTTCAGTTGGTGTTGAGCGGGAGTCCAAGGTTTCGACCTTTTTGCCGAGCTTGTTAAATGATTTCTCGGACCATACACCGAAACGGCCCCCCAGTGCCGCTAGCCATCGCTGCTTTGGGTGGGTGGGGCAGATAAGGTCAGCTTGCTGTTCCTTTGGCCCTTGGCCGTGGCAAGAAGCTCTGAAACAAATCGGTGCCGGAGGTAAAGTCGACGGAACATTCTGTGGAGCTGTTTCAAACATGCCCTAGTTAGCTCATTGGATTTGGCAACCATCCAGGCAGGTGCCTCCAAGGAGGCGTTGGATAAGCAGCTGCTGTCTGGTTGCCTGCAGCCTCTTGCCACTGCTTGCACGCTCGCACATATTTATCAAAATGACCTTTGGCATGCCAAAGGTGACAGGGCAGCGAATGAACTTCGAATGACTCGGGCGAGCGAGGCGCTGGCACGCAAACCGTGGCCCTGCCTGAGCATACCCGCGCAAATGATCCAAAGCTTCCCAGCCAACATTCGCGCCCGGGTGCTTTGGTTTGCTTGGGTCTTTCGTCGGGCCACGCGCCGAAGCGCGAAACCCTCAGCCCGAACCCAGCCGCAACCCGCGTGCCCAGATCGCGCGCCAAAGCCAGCGCTGCGTGCCACCGCGCCGCCCCCCCACCCCCTCCCCCCACCGCCCCCCATGCGGCCCCGCCCCCCCCCCCCCCCCCCCCCCACCGCCCCCCCCCCACTCCCTCCCCCCATGTTGCGAACGAGGTGGCCTTTGCAGGCCCGAAAGAAGCCGCCGGAGCCGAAGATGGATTCCTCGGAGGCCACCAAGTTGACGGACAGGTCGGATCCGGAGACCAAGTCCAGCACCACCCGCGAATGTGGAGAGGCAGAAGGGGAGAGGGGAAAGACGAAAGAAGGGGAAGGAATGGAGGAAACGCGTGCCAATTGCGTGCAAGCACATGTCCCCAACTCAATTCATTGGCATTGACGATCATTGTGGGTTCTGGCTTTCCATTGCTTTGCAATGGTTTGCCCTACTGTTTTCACGTAGAATTCCAACACGCACGTTCGGTTTTCAATCCGTGGTTTTCGCTTGACCAACTTCAATCAAACTGGATGGGTTTATCGTATTCTTGGAGCGATAAAGTCATCAGGGGATGTGAGTCAGCCACTTTTATACCAAGGTCCTTGCTGTCGCCTTTCGGCGATTTTGCTCATCTTCTGGCTGCAACTTAGATTGGTGTCAAATCTCGCAACCCCTCAAAATGGGCCTGATGTCCAGCCTCCTTCCTGGAATGGGTTTGCTTGCCCTTTAAGACGACCGTACAAAGGGGTTCGGTGTACCTTCAAAAATTGGCAAGCAGCGAGCGAGCAGGTGCTGATCGAGGCCCACTTCCTGGAGCTGAGGCGGGGCCTCAAGTACGTTCTGTGGCGAGCCCGTGGGGATCTTTAAGCCACTCTTCCCAGAAGGGCGAGCCCCCCCAATAGAATCAGTTGGCCGTGGATCAAAAATAGGTGCCCAAAATGGAACCCGGGTAAATGGAACCAAGGACTAAAACCTGCGGTCCCCCGGGCACTAACGTGAAGCCTGTCAGCGGATCACATTTACGGGAATATAGCCTTCCAGGACCTGTCACGCAGGTTCCACGTTAGTGGACCGGAGCCGCGTTTTTCCAGAGTTGCCAAGCTTATGGTTTTGTAAAGGTAGGCTAGATATGAAACAATTTCTGAATTACATAATGTTTGGCACACCCATGACATGTTGGGTGTTTGTGTCTTGTGCCCGTGAAGGTTTGTTGCTTGCTCTTGTTTTTGCTTGCTTGCTTGCTTTGCTGTGCTGTGCTGTGCTTTGCTTTGCTTTGCTTGCTCGTTCGCTTGCTGGTTTATGTGCTTGCTTGTCTGCTCGTTTGTTCCCCGCCACATTAACTTGTTTAGAAGCAGGGGACCTCTTGTTGAGGGTTTGAAACGGAGATCACAAGACCACTGCTTTCCAGGCTGGGTTGTTCAAAGTCAAAACCTTAGTCCTCATGCCTGATTGCTTCCCTTGTTGTGCGTAGTGGCGTCCCACTACAGATTGTGGGTCAGCAAAAACCCTCGACAAAGGCACAATCCATTCACTTGGATGCCCACAACAGAGGTGTTTCTCTACCCATATTTGCACGAAACATAAGTCGGGCTACCGCCCACTAGTGATGATCATCCAGGTGGTCAATGTCGAAATGAACGAAACTCAGACAACCTCGCATTGGCGTGGTTTGGATTGGCGGTTTGGGGGAAGATTTGAACCTCTGGTTTTATAGAGGGTAATCAAAGGAAGTTTAACAAGAAACTTCCGTAGTACTGGAACTAAATGAGCTAGCTGCTTTGACATATAGCTATGACAGGTAGCTAGCATGACAAATAGATAGCTTTGACATATAGCTAGCTTGACAGATAGAAAGCTTTCCAATAGGCCAGCATGACAGATAGATAGCTTTGACATATAGCCAGCTTAACACATAGATAGCTTTCCAAAGACTAGCATGACAGATAGATAGCTTTGACATATAACCAGCTTGACAGATAGATAGCTTTAAGATACATGGATGTGCGCGAAAAAAGCTACGAGAAAAGCTGAAATCAGGAGAGCTGGGGGATAGCAAGTTGCAGAAACGTTGGTGCCATGCGTGAATTGGGCTTCCGGACAGTGCGCAAACCACCTCGGTCGCGACGCCTGTACGGAGGCGGTCTCGGAACGGTCCCGTCGGTCTCGGAACGGTCTCGGAGACGGGACATTGGGCACGGCCGCGCGAAGGTTTCGCAAGGTTTGAATTGCGTGGCAGGCGCAGCACTTTCGCAAGGTCAAGTATAGATTTCGTGGCAGGCGCAGCACTTTCGCAAGGTCGAGTACGATTTCGTGGCAGGCGCAGCACTTTCGCAAGGTGCTGGTCCATTCTCTGCGAGCTGGGGGATAGCAAGTTGCAGAAACGTTGGTGCCATGCGTGAATTGGGCTTCCGGACAGTGCGCAAACCACCTCGGTCGCGACGCCTGTACGGAGGCGGTCTCGGAACGGTCCCGGAACGGTCTCGGAACGGTCTCGGAACGGTCTCGGAGACGGGACCATTGGCACGGCCGCGCGAAGGTTTCGCTAGGTTTGAATTGCGTGGCAGGTGCAGCACTTTCGCAAGGTCAAGTATAGATTTCGTGGCAGGCGCAGCACTTTCGCGAGGTCGAGTACAGATTTCGTGGCAGGCGCAGCACTTTCGCAAGGTGCTGCGTCCACTTTCTGCGAGCTGGGGGATAGCAAGTTGCAGAAACGTTGGTGCCATGCGTGAATTGGGCTTCCGGACAGTGCGCAAACCACCTCGGTCGCGACGCCTGTACGGAGGCGGTCTCGGAACGGTCCCGGAACGGTCTCGGAACGGTCTCGGAACGGTCTCGGAGACGGGACCATTGGCACGGCCGCGCGAAGGTTTCGCTAGGTTTGAATTGCGTGGCAGGTGCAGCACTTTCGCAAGGTCAAGTATAGATTTCGTGGCAGGCGCAGCACTTTCGCAAGGTCAAGTATCGATTTCGTGGCAGGCGCAGCACTTTCGCAAGGTGCTGCGTCCACTTCTGCGAGCTGGGGGATTGCAAGATGCAGAAAACGTTGGCGCCATGCGTGAATTGGGCTTCCGGACAGTGCGCAAACCACCTCGGTCGCGACGCCTGTACGGAGGCGGTCTCGGAACGGTCTCGGAACGGTCTCGGAACGGTCTCGGAGACGGGACCCATTGGCACGGCCGCGCGAAGGTTTCGCTAGGTTTGAATTGCGTGGCAGGTGCAGCACTTTCGCAAGGTCAAGTATAGATTTCGTGGCAGGCGCAGCACTTTCGCGAGGTCAGTGCCAAATTCGTGGCAGGCGCAGCACTTTCGCAAGGTCAAGTACAAAATTCGTGGCAGGCGCATCACTTTCGCAAGGTCAAGTACAGAATTTGTGGCAGGTGCAGCACTTTCGCAAGGTCAAGTGCAAAATTCGTGGCACGCGCAGCACTTTCGCAAGGTCAAGTACAGATTTTGTGGCAGGCGCAGCACTTTAGCAAGGTCAAGCACAGATTTGGTGGCAGGCGCAGCATTTTTGCAAGGTCAACTTTCGCAGCCGGGGCTCGAAAATCGCAACTTTTAAGTACGAAAGTAGTACGCGAAGTCAACTTTCGCAGCTGGGGCTTGAAAATCGCAACTTTTAAGTACGAAAGTAGTGCGCAAAGTCCACTTTCGCAGCCGGGGCTTGAAAATCGCAACTTTTAAGTACGAAAGTAGTACGCAAAGTCCACTTTCGCAGCTGGGGCTCGAAAATCGCGACTTTTTAGTACGAAAGTAGTACGCGAAGTCCACTTTCGTAGCTGGGGCTCGAAAATCGCAACTTTTAACTACGAAAGTAGTACGTGAAGTCCAGTTTCGCAGCTGGGGCTCGAAAATCGCAACTTTTAAGTACGAAAGTAGTACGCGAAGTCAACTTTCGGGGATTGAACATCGCAACTTTTAAGTGCAGAGAAAGATGGGTAGATAGATAGATCAATAAACAGATATAGAGATAGCTAGAGAAATAGATAGAAAGAGATAGAGAAACAGAGATAGACAGAGATAGATAGATTTGTAGATAGATAGACAAATAACTAGCTAGATAGATAAAGAGATAGAGAGATAAATAAATAGAGAGGTAGATAGATAGATAGGAGATAGAGAGGTAGATAGATAGGTAGATCTATAGATAAATCGCAACTTTTAAGTACGAAAGTAGTACGCGAAGTCAACTTTCGCAGCTGGGGCTTGAAAATCGCAACTTTTAAGTACGAAAGTAGTGCGCAAAGTCCACTTTCGCAGCCGGGGCTTGAAAATCGCAACTTTTAAGTACGAAAGTAGTACGCAAAGTCCACTTTCGCAGCTGGGGCTCGAAAATCGCGACTTTTTAGTACGAAAGTAGTACGCGAAGTCCACTTTCGTGGCTGGGGCTCGAAAATCGCAACTTTTAACTACGAAAGTAGTACGTGAAGTCCAGTTTCGCAGCTGGGGCTCGAAAATCGCAACTTTTAAGTACGAAAGTAGTACGCGAAGTCAACTTTCGGGGATTGAACATCGCAACTTTTAAGTGCAGAGAAAGATGGGTAGATAGATAGATCAATAAACAGATATAGAGATAGCTAGAGAGATAGATAGAAAGAGAGAGAAAGAGACAGAGAAACAGAAAGAGAAAGAGAAAGAGAAAGAGAAAGAGAGAAAGAGAGAAAGAGAGAAAAAGAGAGAGAGAGAGAGAGAAGCAAGGGGCCACTTTCTGCGAGCTGGGGGATAGCAAGTTGCAGAAACGTTGGTGCCATGCGTGAATTGGGCTTCCGGACAGTGCGCAAACCACCTCGGTCGCGACGCCTGTACGGAGGCGGTCTCGGAACGGTCCCGGAACGGTCTCGGAACGGTCTCGGAACGGTCTCGGAGACGGGACCATTGGCACGGCCGCGCGAAGGTTTCGCTAGGTTTGAATTGCGTGGCAGGTGCAGCACTTTCGCAAGGTCAAGTATAGATTTCGTGGCAGGCGCAGCACTTTCGCGAGGTCGAGTACAGATTTCGTGGCAGGCGCAGCACTTTCGCAAGGTGCTGCGTCCACTTTCTGCGAGCTGGGGGATAGCAAGTACAGAGTTTCGGGCGGCGGGAAGCAGCTGCGCCAGGCAGCGTTGAGTGCGCCCGTGCTCTTGCTAGGCACGGCAGGCACTGGCAAAACAACCACGATGCGAATTGCGTGGCAGGTGCAGCACTTTCGCAAGGTCAAGTATAGATTTCGTGGCAGGCGCAGCACTTTCGCGAGGTCGAGTACAGATTTCGTGGCAGGCGCAGCACTTTCGCAAGGTGCTGCGTCCACTTTCTGCGAGCTGGGGGATAGCAAGTACAGAGTTTCGGGCGGCGGGAAGCAGCTGCGCCAGGCAGCGTTGAGTGCGCCCGTGCTCTTGCTAGGCACGGCAGGCACTGGCAAAACAACCACGATGCAAGCGGCCAACGACGCCTTGGAGCGATCTGGCCTGGCCGGGCGCATCGTGCGCATGGCATACACTGGCGTCGCAGCATCCAACATGGGCGCAGGTAGCCGCACCATCATGTCCTTGCTGCGACTGAATAGTCGCAACGCGTTTTTCGGCCAGCTGGCGCCGCTCAGTGAGGACGACATGCGCGAGCTGGATGCCGAGCTCGGGCGCATGGCCGTGCTGGAGATCGACGAGCTCTCCATGGTGGAAAAGCTCGTGTTGACTTACATACATCGCAGGCTTTGCGAGTGGCGGTACGCTGTGTACCACCCGCAGCACTGCGACGGCCGCCAGTGCCGCTGCGGCGCCCGCATGCCTTTTGGAGGCGTTAAGCTCGTGTTGGCCGGAGATTTCGGCCAGCTGCCGCCCGTGGCCGTAGCAGCAGAGAAAACCTTACTGCACGCGAGGCCGCTGCAGGCAGGACAGTCGCGCGAGGAAGTGAACCTTGGCTTGCGCTTGTTCTTGGGCATCAAGAACGTGTTTCGCCTGCGCCGCATCCACCGGCAGGTGGGCCAGTCGGCGTACAAGGACTCGCTGCTTCGCGTCCGTGATGCGGCAGGCGCGCGCACCGGTGAGGGCTGTGGGCGGGCGCCGGTGCCGCGCGGCCGACCGGCGTTTCAGGTCCCTTTGTTTGCTGTCACTGGTTAGATTGTTTCGATTCGTAATGGCCGCTGCAACAACAGGGCGGACGCCGCGCGAGTCCGTGAAAACGACCGAGGGGGGAACACGACTGGCAGGGATGACGGGAACGCACGCGCGAGAATGACTCAATAAGGCTGAGGCAGCAAGGGCAGGGGAGCCGTTGTTTTTTTTTCAGATGTTTAGGGGCCTCCTATGTTTGAACCACAGCTAGGTTGTATTGCTGTGAGCTCTGTTTTGCTTGCGACGTTCTTTGTGGGACAAGAAAACGCAACGTTCTTTGTGGGACAAGAAAACGCAACAATTGGTTGATTTCTGATGCCAGTGGTCCCATTGAAGTAGGTGGCCAGTTGTTGTACATGTTTCAGAGGGCCTTGTTTCGGAGATTTTGGAGCGAGTTGTCACCGTTTTGCTTCTGCAGCTTTTTGCATCGACGTCCGAATCTGGCTATTTTTTGGCTTTGGCGCACTGGGATGAGAGCTGTGGAAAAGGAAAAGAAAAACAACTGAAAACAGCACACAAGACCGAGAGAGAGAGAGAGAGAGAGAAAGAGAGAGAGAGAGAGAGAGAGAGAGAGAGAGAGAGAGAGAGAGAGAGAAGCAAGGGGCCAAGGACAGTTCTCCAAACTATAGTTGTTCACTGCTTTGAAACTTCCGCCCCCCGGCTCTGCCGGACCTTACTTGTATGGAGGGTAAATGAGAAACCACCCTGAACCACCAAACCATCAATCCAAACCGCTAATCAGAGGGAAGCTGAAAAACAAATTCAACCATCTGGCCATGGGTCAAAATTCCGTACCCCCAGTGAACATCCCAATGCCCACTAAAATCGACTAAAATGGGTGCCAAAACGGTTTTGACCCACAGCCATCTTAGTGAGAATCAACGTGAGTCCCTGTGTGACACTGGCACTGCTGGCGTCAAGCATTTCCAGTCGCTGAGGGCCTCGTTGCTGGGCGACGTGCCGAAGCCAATGGGCAAGGCAAGAGGGTGATGTTTTAAAAGGCCCCCCGAGAATCCTGTATAATCTTGAATTTGGTTAAGGATATTTTTTATGTTCCCCTGTTGGTTTTAAAGGGAATCTATCACTACTGGATACATATATGTATATATATATATATATTTGCCGGGGACTTGAGCAAATGGAGGCAACAGAAAGGGTCACTTTTCACAGCCATAGACCTCCCTGTCAAAATTCAGGGACCTCCAAGAAGGTTGGTTTCCTTTTGGGTTCATTTTAAGCCAACACACACACATGGGGTTTTAGCGATGCCACTTTTTGTGATGCCAATGGAATCCCCTTCAGGTGACCAAGGGTCCATGCGCGCCCCTGGTATCAAATTCACCCTCCCAGTTATGTATAACGCGGTGGGAAGCTGGGCTTCCAACCCCATGATTGTAGGAAGGGTGCCGTGTTTTTTTTTACATTCTTTTTTCTCGCGGGTCTTCCTTGGTTAGTCCGTTTCACCGGCAAGAAGTTGTCACTTTATTGCAGAACATCAACCGAGTCTATGGGCTCTCGTGTTCCGTTGTGTTTGGTGGATGTTTACTTGCACAGGGTCCCTTGAAGGACGAGTTTTGGCCTATTAAACATTACTTTTCCCGACTAATTTAGAGGATCACCAAGAAAAGGCTTTCTTGCGACGTATTTTGTGAGGACCCCTTTTTGCTATTTCTACGGATTTGGTTGAAGGTGTTTCGGATCGAGCCTTGGTTTTGCTGAGTAGCCTTTCAGCTTGGTTCAAAGGGAAACCAAACGGAAACACTCATCATTGTTTAGGTCCCTTATTCTGGCTGCTACCTTCCTTGATCAAGCCACAAGAGTAGAACATAATGTTTGCGTTGGTTTTCCAAGGGTCTTTAGTTTCCTGAGCGTAGCTCAAAACCCGAGGGCAGAGAAGGCAACAAACACCCAGGATCTAAGTACCCGTCCAATTGAGGAACACCCCCCTCCAAAAGTGGTCTGAATCCCCAACGAACCGGTTATACAATCTGGGGGGCAACATTGACCCTTTATGAACAGTGCCCTCTATAGTAGCATGTTTTTGTTTTGTTTTTTGTTTTTTTCAATTCTGGATTTGGTGACTGTTTGGGGGTCCTCAATTGTGGCATTGTTTTGCAAACATCAGGAATTCCTTGTTTAAAGTGGTCGCCAAACCATCAAATTTAAGATAACTTCTTAGCCTTTTACAATAACAAGGGGGTTCACCTAACCAAGCTCTTTCCAGCTTGAAGGGCACAGGCCTTGGATCTAGGAAGTCCATTTTGCCAGTGGCCCCCAAACCATCAATGTTAAGCTACCTTCTTTACAAAATTGCAGGGGCAAACATTCGCACAAAGGGGTCCAACCCTTTTTGGGGGTTGCTGAAAAAAACGGTCCTTGGCAATACTAAAGTAGAATTGGCAATACTAAAGTACGTACTGGGAATCTGAGCGGCCTTGGCAATACTAAAGTAGAATTGGCAATACTAAAGTACGTAGTAGGAATCTGAGCGGCCTTGGCAATACTAAAGTAGAATTGGCAATACTAAAGTACGTACTGGGAATCTGAGAGTCGTCCTTGGCAATACTAAAGTAGAATTGGCAATGCTAAAGTCAGTTCTGGAAATTTCAGAGTCAGCCTTGGCAATACTAAAGTAGAATTGACAATACTAAAGTAAGTTTAGTCCCTCCCAGACCCCCAGGACTTCCCTAAAGAGGGTCCAGCTGACTGGTTCCGACCCAGCATCCGGCCGGCAGTTTCATTCGGTTTTAGACCCCTAGGGAACCGGGTATACCATCGCTATTTGGTTGTGTATGGACGCAATGTAGGGGGTGTACGGTCTTGTGTGCAGTGTTGAGGCCCGACTATAGAGGTAGGACTATAACTATTGGGGGTGGGGGTGGGGGGGTTGACAACACCATATGGGTGCGATTTTTTTAGCACAGGGGCCCCTTCGGTGGACATAATTTATGTCCACCAACCACTTTTGAGGTGTTTCCAACTCTTAAAATTCAATTCGCCATATGGATGGCTCGTCTTTTTGCAGCGTATCCATTTCTAAGGGACACTAGGACATCTACCGTTTAGGGCCTTCCAAGAAACGACGACACGTCTTGACTTGTGTTTATGACTTCATACTCGATCTATTTCCTTTGTTTTGGACATCATATGATCATCCTAGCTTCACAGAAGCATTGCATCGTGATTTAAGAGTTGCTACAGAAAGAGCTGCCTGGACCCTCAAAATGCCAATTCCAACATGGGCTATTGATTGCCACCCAAGTTATGGTTGACCAAATCCTTGTTTTTTAGGGATACTTTGAGTCCAGGTAGGATCAACCCCGTCCTCCATTGCCCCGATAGCCCATTTAGGGGTCCATGAGAAGGGACATCCCCAATTTTGGATTCTGAAGAACGGTCCAGGCTACCTAGAGTCGCCATGACCCTTGATGGGCTCATGACCCCTTTCTTTTTGGTAATGACCTCAACCATTTTTTGAAGGGTCGGAAGGAGACTCTTCTAGGGGATGCTTCCTCATTCTTTTCAGCCATCGGTCTTTTCAGAAGGCCGTTTCTTTTGGGTTTCTGGAGGTGTTCTAGAAAGATCCGGATCCTTGGAAAGAATGGGGGAGGTACCCCAAGGTCTCTAGGATCCAGCCCTCCGCCGTTCATGGTCCAACCCAAAAAGCCACTCGCGACGCGAGTCAGGCGGACGCGGTGGCCTTCGCTTTCATCGACCTCCGTAGCCTGCGGGGGCTGCAGCCGAACCAGGTGGGGCGTCGGCAGGGGACGGGAGGGCAGTGGGTGGGTCGTTCCGTTTTGGGGGGTGGGGTGGGGTGGGGGGAGGGGTGGGGTGGGGTGGGGGTGTGGGGGTGGGGTGGAGCAAGGCTTGCCAGCCTTCAAAAACCAAGAGGAAAATGGCGGGTTACCTACTGCGCAGGCAACCGGGATTCACAGGGAAAGGGAGAACCAACATTTCGAAGGTTCCCTTTCTTTTGAGACACACCCACATGCCGGCGTTGCAGAACGTCCTTTGGGGTAATGCGCTGTTCGGTTTGGCAGCGCGCAACAAAGGGGATCCAACAGGAGCTGCCTCTAAAACAAATGTTTTTAAGGGCTCCATGTCAATCTGCAAGAGAGTATGTCTTACTTGTTGCTCACTTGTCCAAAGCCGACCTGTTGAACTTTTGGTTTCCCTGGTCGGTCCAATTTGTAGTCAAGGTGCTAAAGGTGATCGCCTGTTCTTTCCAGGCCCTTTCGGCAAGTGAGGTTAGTTTTACCTCAAAGCTTTCTTACTCGGGCAATCTTCACCCTGACGAGTAACCCCGTTGACGACGAGAGCCACCCGTTCAGTTTTGGCGGATTCGGATCCAATTCCAACAAAGCTGGTTTCCCAATTGGCCACGCCCTCATCTTGAGCAAGGTGACTTCAAGTCAAGCAAACAACTGGAGCATATCTGCACATGTTTATGTTTGATTTTTTTTAGTGGGTTGGGGCGGGGGTGGCTTCCATTTCCGCATTTGATTTGATGAATGCGCCCTCATGTTCTTAATTACCCTTTTTAGAGCGACCCTTGTCGTTGTTTTGCATAAACCAACGTTCAAACCTTCCCCAGAATTAGTTCCCCTTTTCTTTTTTTTGCTTTTTTGGGGTCCCCTTTGTTTTCCCACTTGTTCGATTCCAGGTTTTTTTCCTCGGGTTTTTTCCTCGTTCGATTCCAGGAATCAAGGTACCATAAGGTACCATCTCAAGACCAAACATGGATGGGATGATTCGGCCTCCTGGGGCCTGGGGTTGGGATTCCTCAGGTTTGGATTCCCCCACTTCCCCTCAAAACCTCAAGGAGCTGAGTGTCCTTTTGCGAGTCCTTTCGCGGAGCCTCGCAAGAGAGCCGGCCTCGCGAACTCGGTTGGCGGCTGGTTGCTATGTTCCCTCTTGGCTTGGAAGGGAAGCTACCACCGGACAGAATGTGACATGTGTTTTGCAGGGGGCTTAAACTGGGCAGATGGAGGTAGGTCAGTTTGGTGTCCATTTGGTTCCAAACATGTACCAGCGTTATGACATTTTTGCAGCCACACACTGAGGTGTCTTGAACTATTTATTTTTTCAATAAATCATCGATTTCATTATCCTCAACACTATCCTTTTTTTATCCTCATCGTTTTTCATTATCCTCAAGATTATCACTGCTTTTCCTCGTCGTTTTTCATGATCTTCCTCGCCTGCCTGCCTGCCTGCCTCCCTGCCTGCCTGCCTGCTCGCTCGCTCGCTCACTTGCTTTGCTTTGCTTCGCTCGCTTGCTTTGCTTTGCTTTGGTTTGCTTTGGTTTGCTGGGCTTGGCTTTGCTTTGCTTTGCGAGTGTAGTGCGTATGTCCGATATATGCAAGACACTGAGCAGATGGAACAGCTTTTGTGGAGCGTGTCTGACGGTGGCTGTTTTGAAGCTCGTTTCAAATCGTGTTCCAGGCTGGAGAACAGGGGAGGAAAATAGGGAGGATGATTTTTGGAAGGTTGATGTCAGGTAGGATAATTTGTTGGATGATTTTTGGAAGGTTGATGTCAGGTAGGATAATTTGTTGGATGAATTTTTGAAGAAGGATTCCGTTCAGGATAATTTTTTCGAAGATGTTTCGAAGATTGTTCGAATATTGTTCAATGATTTTTTGAGAAAAAACAGGGAGGGTTTGCATTTTTTTGCTTTTCCTGACCGCTGTGAAAGGGGTTTGGGATGATTTTCGAAGATTTTTCGAAGATTGTTCGATGATTGTTCGATGACTTTTCGATGATTTTTTGAAAAAAACAGGGGGGGGGTTTGCAACTTTTTGCTTTTCCTGACCACCGTGAAAGGGGTTTGGTCCAGAAAATGTGGGTTGGGGATGATTTTCGAAGATTTTTCGAAGATTGTTCGATGATTGTTCGATGATTTTTCGATGATTTTTTGAAAAAAACAGGGGGGGGGGTTTGCAACTTTTTGCTTTTCCTGACCACCGTGAAAGGGGTTTGGTCCAGAAAATGTGGGTTGGGGATGATTTTCGAAGATTTTTCGAAGATTGTTCGATGATTGTTCGATGATTTTTCGATGATTTTTTGAAAAAAACAGGGGGGGGGGTTTGCAACTTTTTGCTTTTCCTGACCACCGTGAAAGGGGTTTGGTCCAGAAAATGTGGGTTGGGGATGATTTTCGAAGATTTTTCGAAGATTGTTCGATGTTTTTTTTGAAAAAAAAGGGGGTTTTGCAACTTTTTGCTTTTCCTGACCACTGTGAAAGGGGTTTGGTCCAGAAAATGTGGGTTGGGGATGATTTTCGAAGATTTTTCGATGATTTTTCGATGATTTTTTGAAAAAAAACAGGGGGGTTTTGCAACTTTTTGCTTTTCCTGACCGGAAGCACAAGGGGAAGCGAAGGAAGCCAAATTAAGGAAGACAAGGCTTAGAGAAGGAAAGAAAGAGAAGGCGCAGCAAGTCAAGGAAGCGATGGGCAAGGAAAGGAAAAGGAAAGGGAAAGGGAAAGGTAAAAGGAAAGGAAATCCAAAGGGGAAGGGAAAGGCAAGGCGAGGCAAGGAAATGAGAAGTCAGAGAATGAAGAAGGAAGACGGAAGGAGGAAGAAAAAAGATGACAGAGGGGAGAAGGGAAAGGGGCGAGGACGGGGAAAGAAATGAAAGGAAAGGAAGCGAAAGAGTGAAAAGGGAAAGAAGGAAAAGGACAGGGAAAAGAGAACGGGAGAGGACAAGGAAGAAAAAAAAGAGGAGGGAGATGGAAAATGGAAACAAGAAGAGGGAAATGGAAAAGGGTAAGGAGAGAAGGGAACGGGAAGGAAAGGAAAATGGAAACGCAGAGAATAGAAGCGATGTGGAGGAGGGACGAAGGAGGAGGGAGAGGATGATTTTTCGATGACGTTTTTTGCAGAGGATGACTGTAGGATGATTTTTGGATAGGTTTGAGGATAACCAAATCGATGATTTTTTGAAAAAAACATTATAAATATTTCAACATTTCCAGTCTCTGGCTGGCTAAAAAAAAACATAATACCAGCGCCATCTACTTTTCTGAAAAGGACACCTGTGGTGGGCCACGTTTGGGCAGGACCTCCAGGTGTTCGTTTTGAGGGGTTCAGGGTCCAAGTGTTGGTATCTTTGCAAGTTCATGCAGCAAGTGCCAGGAGGCTTGTGCAAGGCTGCAAGAGCGTTCGGATGTAGGAAACTGCTACCATATGGGTTTGTGTTTCCAGCACCCTCGACCCCGGGTGAATCGTTCTTTTTTGGATTTGAGCCAATCACCAAAGTTGGGAACCCCCTGAGAAAACGATAAAACATGTCAGGTAGTGGTAGATTCCCTTTTAATACCAACAGGGCAACATAAACACATGTTCTTAGTGCTTTATGTTTTTTGTGGGTCATTTTTCGGGGAAGAACAAACACACCCAACAAATGTCGCCAAGAACCACGCGCCTCAACCCCCCCTTCCCCTCCCCCCTCCCCCTCCCCCTGAGCGAGGCTCATGGTGCAACGATTACCTTCAAGTTGGAGGGCCAGACCTACAAGAGCCGCCCCGCCTCCTATCAGGCGTCGGTTCTCGGAGTGGGAGTTGGGGCCTTCGGTGGGATCCGAAGGAAGAGGTGTAAAACTTTTTTCGGGTTCTAGGAGTGGGGATCCAGGGGAGAAGGAAGAGCTTTATCTCATCAGGTGTTTTCCATGCGTACCTGGAGTCTCCGTGGCCCTTGAAAATGGGTGGGCATTACCCAACATATTGGGGTCATGACCCCATGTTTAACGGGTCACGGAGACGCCAGGTAGTTTTTGATTCATTTGCTTTTTCTGGGAGTTTAACGAAGCCTGAGTGAACATCAGGTGTAACAAGCGAGTTTGCTGGCTTTTTCCGGGTTCCTGGCAAGATTGAGAAGGGGAACCGAAAGGATGTTGGGTGGTCGTTTCTCGTCTTTTTTGTCGGGCCCCTTTTCAGAGGGAGGTTGACAGGGGAACCGAAAGGATGAGCATTGTTTTTGGGGTCCCTTCTGGCACACCCCCCATTTGGCTTTGTCTCCTTGGTAAAAAACCCCAAATGGACCAATTGTGCTCCTCACAACACCAAGACAGAGTGCCCTCAAGCAAGACACCTGAGAAGATCGGCGAGTCTTTCTGCAGTGGCTTTGGTTTGAAAACAGGTTCACCGGTTTCACCTGGTTCGCCTTCTTTTCTGGGGGGCAAATCTGTGTCTGTCACAGATGTTTGCTGATTTTGAGTGGAGCCTCAGGTCTTTTCTTAGGTTGATTCCCCATTCTCTTCACCCATCGTTCTGAATAGGAGACCACACAGTTTTCCAGGGCCTTCTGGCCGATTCCTGGGGAAGGTACAGCTAGATCTTTGTGAACAGGAACAGCTCGCGCTTTTGGCATGGCTCAAAGCCCGGGTAAACTGGCTAGGGACAGTCCCGAGTCCCCGTGCCGGGCATCTTCGCGGGATTCGCCAGAAAATTCCAACAACAGGGCTCGTCTCAGTTTTTTTTGGAGTTTGTACCCCCCTTTGTTGCGTGGTTCTGAAGGGACACCAAAAGGAAACCCACCATTTTGTTGGGCCCCCCAAAAAAGGACACGCCCAAGACATAAGCCGCCGTGGAGAAGACATGCCATGCCGGACCCTTTCGGTGGAGATGGTTTGTGCTAAGCAGCCGCTTGTAGCTGGAATCTCCTAGGTGTAGCTCCCTCTTCAGTCTTCCGTTTCCTTGGTCTACCCTCGTTGTCCAATGAGAGGTGCTCGTTCTGCAAAGACTCGCGGCTTTAGGGCAGCTTTCAGTACCAGGAGGGTGTCCTGTAAAGCAATAAGAAGTAGTCTTGAGGATGATTTATGTTTTTATAAAAAGGGTTGTGTTCCACAACCCAGCTCTGGACTTAATTGTATGCCGAGAGAAAGTGGACGATTCCCCCCACGTTAGCTTAGTCTTCCCATCCCCCGTTACTTTTCCACTTGGGAGTTGTGGCATTTACATCTACTTTCGCGTGCACTTGTTTGAAGCCCATGTTGAGAGACAAGTCTAGGTGGGTTTATAAGTTCCCCTTTTAACAAGCCGCATAGTTGTAGCCTCAAAAAAGACATCCAACTGGGTTTGTTTAGTAAGTGAGCTTTTTGGAGGCTCGTTTCGAAAAACGAGAGGGATGATCCGAAGTGAGCGAGTGGGGCACGCTGGCAATCCCTCACGTCAACTGCTCAATTGTTCATACTTTTGAGCGGAAATCTTAAAAACACAAGATATATATTACTTCGAGTGGGAAGCCCTTTGCAGAAGGGGTGACCACGCTTCATTTCTGCAACTGTGTTGGCTCCCAGTCCCCGTTTGTTTTGTCATCCAGGGGGATTTGACTGGTTACAACAAATTGAGCGCTGCGGCGCTGTGCCCACTGTGGTGGAGAGTTTTTGGTGTTTTCGGTTTTGCTTTGTGTACCGTTTGCGGACGCGTGGTCAAACCCTTATCCCGCTGCGGCGGTGTTCCCCTCGTGAGGGAGATGCCGGGCCCATGGTTCATGCCTGTAGATGACGTGGAGTTTGTCAAGGAGCTGGATTTCAAGAAGGGCGACCTCATGGAGATCCACGTGTACACGGACAACATGACAGCCCAGGGCACGGTCCTCATCGAGAACCTCGCAATTGGACGGCGGCTACTGGGGGGCCTCTGGATCAGGGCGAAGTTCCTGGCGGTGTCGGACCCCTACCTCGAGTGGTGGCTGGATAACGGAGAGGGCCAGAGGAACAAACGTGTTTTCAATGTCCATGTTTGTTCGTGCCCACTGGATGAGTGTGAGGAGTCCAAGAACCATGAAAGCCAAGAGTTCCATACCGACAAACTGCGGGAAATCTCAATCGGAGACCTTCAGGCCAATAAGGTCGAGTGGATGAAGCGTGGGCTATCAGCAACATCCATTGACAAGTACCTGGCTACATTGGGCAATGTTCCTAACAGCCATCAACCCCGAGCTGGCCAAGTGGGACATGGCTCAGAACTGGATTGGGGGCAAGCGCCTCAAGCTGAACAGCAGCCGGGCCATCCTGAGGACGAGCAAGTGGAGCGACGATTGAAAGATTTGGAGGTGGATTTGGAGAAGGATTTGAATGGGAAGATGGACCGAACAAGAAAAGGCAAAGGTGGGGATCCCAGACCAAAGCGAGAGATCCCGGCTCACAGGGATGGAGTGGATGATGGGCCGCCTGCGGGCGAGGTTAGGTCACTGACCAAGTGGTTCGGCCAAAAGCCCAGGCCGCGAGAGGATGGAAGGTCCCGAAGCCGGGGCCGAGATGGGGCTATCACGGAGGCTCGTGAGAAGAAGGGCCGTCGAAAAAGGAGGAGGAGATCTTCATCCTCTGCCTCAGGAGCTGCGAGGAGGGGGCACGCAAGAGACAGAGGGCCCTTTGGAGTTGGGCGTGAGGTTGCCTATGGCGATATCCCTTCTGACGGCGATGGTGGGTCGGATGCCTCTCGGGATTTTCGCGCAGGGTCTTCCTCTCAGAGCGGTCGGAGTCATCAGCTGCAGCTTCAGGAGTATGCCTTGAGAAAGCCGGGAAGATTGGCTTCAAGGTTGCTGATCAAGATGCAGGGCTTGATTTCGAGAGAGGGAGGCCCGCCCGCCACCGATCTCCGCTCAAACGCAACCCCGGCCTGCGGCGTGAACTACTTCCACACCATTCTGGTCCCAACCTACCGCGACAAGATGCATCTACGACTCTCTCGCGAGCTCCGGACTTTGCTGATGGCACTGGATGCGGTGGCGAAGGGCGAATCCCCCAGAGCGGCCGACTTACTGGCTCAGCGGGTCAAGGCACTCGAGCTCTACCTGTGCGATCAGACATGGCATCGGGCCCAGCACTTGGAGCTCATCCCGGGAGAGGGCCCAGGTCTGGTGGACAAGGACGAACTTTGGATGGCTTCAAGAGAGATGGGCGGCGAGATGAAGCTGAAGCAGTATCAGGCAAATTGGGGCCAGCAGCTGGGCGGAAAAGACTTCGGGAAGAAACGGGGGATCCAAGGCAAAAGTCGAGCAGAAAGGGAAGAAGGGGTCAAAGCATGGGAAAAAGGAGGATGCGCCTCCTCTCGGCTAGAGCTGGGGGAGGACAGTCCGCCCGCGGGCGAGAAGCCAGACAAGCAGCCGTTGCCAGAGAGTGACCTCGATTTGGGTGGCTCCGATGATGATGGTTGGCCGCAAGATGAGTTGTGGCAGCAGCTGGATTCGATGTGCGGCAAGGCGCTGCCACTTGGCGAGTGGCAAGAAATGGTGGCAAAAGTGTTGAGTTGCCAGTTGGAATACTCCCATTTAGGCAAGCGACTCTTATCACTAGTTCGCTGCCTGAAGTCCCCACTTGGAAACTTTGCGGAGAAGTATTGCAACCCCAACTCCCTGCCTCCGGGGCACTTGCCCCACCATGACAACAGGGGGGACATTCTCCCATTGCACCCTGCGTTGATTTCGCAAGACTTGGAGGGCATCGATGAACCCAACCTGGAATGGGTCCAGCTGATCTTCGTCATCCTCAACTTTCACTACTGCGCGGGATGGACCAAGCCAGTATGTGTCCCGTTCCAGCCGAATTTGAGCGCCAACCAAAAGTGGTCCATTGCCCATATTGCCAGACAGGTTTCAAGGACCATGGAGCCTTCATCCAGGACGCCAAGCGCGGAGGAAGCGCAGTCTCAGTTGGCTTCACGCTGTTTCGACTACTCGGGGCAGCCGATGGAGTTCATGGAGGACTTGGTGGCCGAAAAGGTAGTCATGGCCTGGCCGAAGCCGGGTAAAGCTGCAGTTGTCAAATTGGTGGACTGTCTACCTCATTGGCTAAGAGAAGCCATCGAGAGCCCGGACGACTTTTGGGTCCCTTGGGATGCGATGCCGGACCACTCACGCAAATCCAAAGTGCGAGCTGATGATCATCAGTGGTGGCTCATTTGCCGAGCTGCCCATGAGAGAGGCCTCATGTCATATGTCGATGACGACGAGGAGCTCCCGAAAGACAGAGGAGGTCACTACATTTGTGGCGGAGCTGGCGGAGTCAAGAAGATCAAGAACATCAACGGCAAAGAAGTGGCAGCCCAAAGGTTCATTTCGATCTTCTGTCCTCAGAACGAGGTAATGCAACTGCTCCCAGGAGCCCAGGACACCCTTCCGTACATCGGCCAGCTCGCTGGAGTTCTGGCGGAAAAGGACGAGTACCTGGTCTTGGACTCGGAGGACCTGGAGTCGGCCTTCAACTTGTTTGAAATGCCGCGAGCTTGGTGGCCGATCTTCAACTACGGCAAAAAGGTGGCACTCACCGCGTTTGGAGGGAAGGACAAGCGGATGGTCCGTCCGGTCCTGAAGGTGGTGCCGATGGGGTGGTCCTCGGCCGTTACCCTGGTACAAGCGGCGGTGAGGCACCTGGTGTTTGAGCGAGCTGCCATTGACCCCAGAGGAGATATTACACGGTTGAACCCCTTGCCGGCAAGCAAGCAATACTCGCTGATTTACTTGGACAATTTTGATCAGATCACGAAGCTCACTGCTGCCGAGATGCAAGTGGCCCGAGGTGAGCCTTCTCCTGACCATGCCAAGTTTATCAAAGCCTGCGATGAGCTAGGCCTGCCGCGGAACCTTGGGAAGCAGGTGCTTGCATCATTCGTGGGGTGCCTACAAGGTGGTGAGTTGCTTGGACACGAAGGGATTCTCCGAATGCCTCGCAACAAGACGAGGGAATTCATATCCCTTTCCTTGGCTCTCTTGAGTCAGAAGGGCTGGTTGGAATTTCCATTGCGGCATTGGGCTGGCAAAGGCGGATTTCTTTCAACGTTTCGCAGGCCCCTGTACTCCATCATGCAAGAAGTATTCCATTCGATCGAGGCAGCAAAGGGCAAACAAGGGGGAATCCGTCCTTCTGAAGTGGTGATGGATGAGGTCTTCTCCTTGATGTCGCTTTCGATTTGCGCTGAACTCAACCTGCGCGCGCCAATTTCAAGCGAGATATCCTGCACGGACGCCTCGCCCACCGGCGGGGGAAGTGCAATTGCTTCAAAGTTCAAGGAGAAGTCTTTGCTGATGAACGCCCCTGTGTCACCCGCCGCAACCGTCTGCTCACAGTGTAGCGGGGGCTGGCCGGCGGACTTGGGCGCCAGGGGTTAGAGTGCCCTCGGCATTGCGGAGCTCTTTGTTGCACGCTGGTGTGTGCTCGCGCTCATCATGACCAAACTTGCCCTCGCGAAGGTTGGTACTCTCCTTCCTTTGGTGAACGCCTTTCCGGACCAAACTACCGACTTACCAAAGCAGTGGGGCTGGCAGGTGTTTTGACCCAGAGGCCTTTGGATGGCGCGGTGGACGGCTGGGACTTTTTCACAACCGGTGGAAAGGAAACTTTGTCTCGTTTACAGGATGACCCATCCCTGGCCGGCGAGCATTGGACACTGCCCTACGGCAGTTTTTCAACAGGCGTGCCCAATCCTTTGCGGAGCATTCATTGCCCATCGGGAGTTCCTGGGCTCCGAAGACAGGACCAAATTCTGATTCGGAAAAGTAATGCCTATGCCCGCAGGGCTTTTGTCAGCATGAAGGAAAGCCAGAAGAGGCACATCGTCTTTTCGTTGGCACACCCTTGCGACAGCTACGTGTGGCACTTGGAGGAATGCTTGTCGTTGGACAAGGATGTGTGGCTTTGGGCCTGCTTCTGCCTGTGCTGCTTTGGCGGGTCCAGCGCGCAGTGGCTTTGGTGGCCAACCAACTCTCCCCATGTTTTCAAAGCGCTTCACAAGCCAGTGTGCGCAGGGCATCATGGTCTCCTCCTTCCTGCAGAGTGGCACGACACTGGTGGCAACGACTCGGCCTTTGACTACCCGTGGGCACTTTGCGTTGCGTATGCCAATGGGCTGAAGCAAGCTTTCCGCGACAACCACCCTTTTCCAGAGGAAATTGCGCCGCCCTCTTTAAAGGGCCTGCTGACTTCCCAGCTTCAAGGTGCAACTCGCGGATTCCAATCTCCGGCTGCAGTGAAGCTCGCAGTGGACATCATTGATGAGCTGGTTCGCACAATGGATGCTGACAGTGAGATGGACCACTTGAAGCATCTACTTCGATCAGTCCATCACCGAGGCAGTGATGTCAGGCTTACTCCCTTTGGGACCGACCAAGCCAAATCCGTATCCGGCCTTCCGCTGGATGTGGCGCACTTGTCTAAGCTACAGGTGGGCCCAACCACAGCACATCAACATTTTGGAGGTGTCCGCCTTCCTGGTGGAGCTTCGCCGACGTGCCCGGCAGCACTCGCAGCTGGGCAAGCGTTTCTTCAACGTGATTGACTCGCTCGTCACCTTTTTCGCAGTTTCAAAGGGAAGATCTTCGTCGAAGCGATTGAATCGCCAGTGCAGGAGGGTAATGGCAGTGGACTTGGCTGCGGGGTTGTATCCCATACAGCTTTGGACGATTAGCAAGTGGAATTTCAGTGACCATGCCTCGCGCCGCTTTGAGACCAAGTGAGCACCTTCGCTTCCTGGGTATCACTGCCAGAACCTCCCGCACCTACAAACAAGCTCTCCGAAGATTCTTCCAGTACACACGTTTATTTCACAACGTTTTGCCGAATTCATTTGTTGCCTTAAACGAGATGTTGAGCGAGTACATTAACCATTTGTACCAAGAAGGTGATCACCTTAGCCAAGCAGGTTGGGTTTTGAGTGCAATGAAGCGTTTTTACCCCCGAGCACGACGCCAACTACCTACTGCTCAGCAATTTTACAACAACTGGAAACGACAGCATGTGCCCTCCCGAGCAGTTCCACTCACATGGTTGGTTGTCAGAGCGATGGCTGCAGCAGCCACCAGAGTTGGCCGCATGGACATGGCCCTTTGCCTTTTTCTTGGCTTCGTGTTTTTTCTACGAACTGGAGAGATCTTGGCTCTGCGTGCGCATCATGTTTCCATTTTTCCTGAGAAAGGCACCATTTTTATTGCCCTACCTGACACCAAAACAAGCCGTGGTCTTATGGAAAGCGTTTCACTCTCTGACCAGCGATTTGCCACATTATTCACAAGCTTTGGCTCTCGAGCCGCCCAAGCGGCTTGCTTTTTGCGGGGTCGGCGGCCAATTTTCGCCGCCTACTCAGATGTCTTCTGTGCACGGTTGATTGTGGCGACCTCAATTTTTCCGCCTATTCGCTGCGAAGGGGCGGTGCGACCCATTTTTACCAAATGACGAACAACTTAAATGCCACCGTCCTGCGTGGCCGATGGCGTGACATGGCGACAGCAAGGCTGTACATTGACGATGCCAGAGCCAGTCTAATCCAACTTTGCTTTTCTGAGGATCGATTGCGCCTACTGAACTCTTTTGCTGGTTTTTGGGGAACCTTTTAAATGGAAGTAGCTTCGCCAAGGGCGTCTTCGCTTGAGCTGGGAGTGGTCAGACAGGGAGTGGTCCGACAACTAAAGCGAATCCTGAGACTGGGAATGGTCAGTGGTTTTCTTTAACACCTGAGGGTGTGTCTGCCCAAGCATGGATCCGGCTGCGGCCGTGGGGAATGGTCAGTGGTTTTCTTTAACACCTGAGGGTGTGTCTGCCCAAGCATGGATCCGGCTGCGGCCGTGGGGCGGTTTTTGCATTTTAGGCCACAGCACGGCCTCCTTTTGCACGTCGGCGGTGTTCTGGAAACAGTCCACGACACCACTGACCAAAATCCATCCAGGGAGTTGGAAAACACGGAGTTGCTGAAATATATATTAAACAAAAAAAAACGTGCGCCGAGCGCCTGGGCTTTCGGTGGGAGGCTCTTTTTTTCTGGCTGCTGCCAGGGGTCCAACTACGGATCCGCGCTGACCCAGGGGGCCCAGAGATTGGTTGAGCACCTCTACAACATCAAGGCAACGACCAGAACGACCCGAGCCGAGCCGGCTGTGGTTGTCAAAGCCGTTTTGGTACTGTGGATGGTTACGAAATCCTGCACCAATTTGAAGCCATGGGAAACCATAATTTGTTGGTATTTACAGGAGAATCATCATTCCAGGGGTTCTTAGGTGGTGCAGGTTTTTGTCCATCCACAGTATCATTTTGGGGTAGGTGAATTCACCTCCCATTTTAGGTTACCAATTTTGGTGGTTGGATTGGGATGTTCACTGGGCCATTCACTGGGGTACGGGATTTTGACCCCCAGCCGTGAGCAACGCGAGCCATGGGTTGTGGGGAGGGGGGCATGGGGGGGGGAGGGAAGGGACGCTGCGGTCACGGGGTGTCCTTCGAGAAACCCCGGAGGAAACAATCTGTTGCCCCAATAGAAATGAACGGAAGGAACCCGGCTGAGTCCGAAAAGGAGATTCCTCTTTTGGTGAATTTCTGGGTTTTATTCACTTGCAACCAAAGCAAATCGACCTGAACTCACCTTTTGGAAAATCGTCCTGGACAGGTGGGTGATCATGCCATGGCAGAACCGTTCTTCCTAATTTCAGTTAGGATTCGTTACGTTTTGCTTTCGCAGTGGATTCCACTTTCAACACCCCTTGTTGTTTTGGCGGAAGCCCGCACAATCGACCCCCAGAAAGGTTCCCTCACTGGCCGGGTGAAGCGACTGTCTGGGCAATCAAAGTCAGAGTTCCTGGAGAGTTCACTTTCCTTTTAATTTTGGGAATGGTTCAAAATTAAAACCAGGATATGGACCGCAGGTTATATCGTTGTTTCCATTTACCAGGGCAACCCATTTTGGGTACCTATTTTTGATCCACACCCACTTGTCTGTCGCCTTTTTGGTTTTCCATCAAGTTTTGTTTTTCTTCGGAACGGCAAGCCCCGAGCTCCGAAACCAAGTGAAGAATCCTGGTGAAAAAGACACCGGGAGGCTGAACCCACACATTGGGACAGACCACAAGCTCATTACAATTCGGAGATCGGGAGGATACACCCGGGTGAAGGTAGATGGCCCTTTGTGGGTAAGCAAGGGAGATGGCTAAACCAAAATTCGTGCCATTGTACTTTCAACCAACTGTATTTCCTTTGAGAAGGCGTTGACACCTCACGGATCCTATCCAGTAGATCCACCCCCTGTTCTGAATGCGCGAGGCGTACAAATCCGAGGTCGATATTGCGCTTGGGTGAAAGATGGCACCATCTCCGATGTTGGTTTAGTCATCTCCTCTACTCGTACTTGCTTACACAAAGGGAATCAAGCCATCTACTTTCACCCTGGTGCATCACTTTTGGTAGGTTTTTTCCCGGAAGCATTGCGAAGGGTTCTTCTTCTAAAAGCGGCTGCCAATTTCACCTGCCAACTTCTCATGCCAACTTGTCGAGAGTTACTTCACCTGCCAACTTCTCATGCCAACTTGTCGAGAGTTACTTCACCTGCCAACTTCTCATGCCAACTTGTCGAGAGTTACTTCACCTGCCTACTTCTCATGTCAACTTGTCGAGAGTTACTTCACCTGCCTACTTCTCATGTCAACTTTTTGAGAGTTACTTCACCTGCCAACTTCTCATGTCAACTTTTCGGCTGTTATCTCATTCTACTAAAAGCACAAGCTAATTTGTCGGGTGTTACTTCACTATCCTAAAAACACAAGCTAACTTTTCTGTTCTACCTTCACTTCTCGACTCTTAATTCTTCTTCTTTTTATGGCGGGGGTAGGCCCGACGGGAGCTTACGAAACGCACCCCTCTGCGGAGATCGTGCGTGTCGAAGCGCTCTCGCTGTGGCGCCGTGCGAATTTGTCTTGAGCCCGATGAACCCTCTGCGGAGATCGTGCGTGTCGAAGCGCTCTCGCTGCGGCGCCGTGCGAATTTGTCTTGAGCGCGGCGAACCCTCTGCGGAGATCGTGCGTGTCGAAGCGCTCTCGCTGTGGCGCCGTGCGAATTTGTCTTGACCTTGGCGAACCCTCTGCGGAGATCGTGCGTGTCGAAGCGCTCTCGCTGTGGCGCCGTGCGAATTTGTCTTGACCTTGGCGAACCCTCTGCGGAGATCGTGCGTGTCGAAGCGCTCTCGCTGTGGCGCCGTGCGAATTTGTCTTGACCCGAACCCTCTGCGGAGATCGTGCGTGTCGAAGCGCTCTCGCTGTGGCGCCGTGCGAATTTGTCTTGACCTTGGCGAACCCTCTGCGGAGATCGTGCGTGTCGAAGCGCTCTCGCTGTGGCGCCGTGCGAATTTGTCTTGACCTTGGCGAACCCTCTGCGGAGATCGTGCGTGTCGAAGCGCTCTCGCTGTGGCGCCGTGCGAATTTGTCTTGACCTTGGCGAACCCTCTGCGGAGATCCTGCGTGTCGAAGCGCTCTCGCTGTGGCGCCGTGCGAATTTGTCTTGACCTTGGCGAACCCTCTGCGGAGATCGTGCGTGTCGAAGCGCTCTCGCTGTGGCGCCGTGCGATTTTCTTGCTCGCGAAACGGCTTTTGGAAGTTGTCTCGTGGTGTGCGCGCCTGCTTTCGCAATCCCGCGGTCCCGGGTTCGATTCCCCCCTGGTCCGCGGCAGCTCCGGCTTGAAAATCGCAGCTTTTAAGTACAAACGTAGTACGCGGAGCGTGCTCCTGCAGCTCCGGCTGGAAAATCGCAACTTTTAAGTACAGACGTAGTACGCGGAGGCTGCTGCAGCTCCGGCTGGAAAATCGCACTTTTTAAGTACAGACGTAGTACGCGGAGCGTGCTCCCGCAGCTCCGGCTGGAAAATCGCAACTTTTAGATACAAATGGCTGGAAAATCGCAACTGTAAATTGCAAATGTAGCACGCGGAGCGCCTCCGCCGCTCCAGCTTTTTGAGGGTTAATTACTTCACCTGCCAGTTTCTCATGCCGAAACTTCGAGAATTACTTCACCTGCCAGCTTCTCATGCCACCTTTTCGAGAGTTACTTCACCTGCCAACTTCTCGTGCCAACTTTTCGAGGAGTTACTTCACCTGCGAGCTTATCATGCCAACTTTTCGAGAGTTACTACACCTGCGAGCTTCTCATGCCAACTTTTCGAGAATTACTTTACCTGCCAACTTCTCATGCCAACTTTTCGAGAAATACTTTACCTGCCAACCTCTCGTGGCAACTTCACCTGCCAACTTTTCGAGAATTACTTCACCTGCCAACTTCTCATGCCAACTTTTCGAGAAATACTTTATCTGCCAACCTCTCGTGGCAACTTTTCGAAAAATTACTTCACCTGCCAGCTTCTCATGCCAACTTTTCGAGAGGTACTTCACCTGCCAACATCGCCTGCCAACTTTTCGAGAGTTACTTCGCCTGCCAACTTCTCGCGCCAACTTTTCGAGAATTACTTCGCCTGCCAACTTCTCATGCTAACTTTTCGAAAGTTACTTCACCTGCCACGCCAACTTTTCTCTTCACGCGCCATGTGCCAACTTTTCGAGAATTACTTCACTTCTGCCAGCTTCTCACGCCAACTTTTCGAGAGTTACTTCACGCGCCATCTTCTCGTGCCAACTTTTCGAGAATTACTTCACCTGCCAGCTTCTCACGCCAACTTTTCGAGAGTTACTTCACCTGCCAACTTCTCATGCCAACTCTTTGAGAGTTATTTCACCTGCCAACTTCTCATGCCAACTTTTCTCTTGAGTTACTTCGCCTGCCAACTTCTCATGTCAACTTTGCGAGAATTACTTCACCCGCCAACTTTGCCAGCCAACTATTCGAGAGTTACTTAACCTGCCAGCTTCTCATGCCAACTTTTTGAGAATTGCTTCGCCTGCCAACTCCTCATGCTAACTTTGCGAGAGTTACCTCACCTGCATCAACTTGCCTCTATGCTTCCGGGCCACTCGTCGTCTAGTTTATCAGTTTTGCTGGTGTATCCTTTTGGCTGGCCATTTCATTTTGGTTTCTTGTGGTACTGTGGATGGGCAACGTCCTGCAAAACTTGGGATGGATGACGCCCTGTGAATAGAAACAACCTACCGACTGGTGCGAAATGGATTTTGCCCATCTACACTCGCATTAGCATGGGCATTTACATGCCCATGCTCCAAACACCGCGTCGTTTTCAATTGAAACAGAGGTAGGGCATCGGCTCGGATCGGCTGGCATCGGCTCGGATCGGCTGGGATCGGCTCGGATCGATGGATCGGTTCCGAAACCGACATGGCTCGGCTGCGCAGGGGAGAAGTGTGGAGGAGATCATGAAGATCTCGGGGCTCAGCAAAGAGCAGGCGAGAAGCTGGCAACGGAGCCAAGACGCTGGGATCCGGATTTGGGGTGTGGCTCAAAATGAAGCAGGGGGCAAACCGCAGGTTCTGGGTAACCCATGTTTCCACCTACCGATCGGGCAACCCATGTTGGAATTCCGGTGTTTTGAGCCACAGCCAGTTGTGTCCTTTAACCACATTTCCAGAGGGAGAACCTCCGGAGCTACCCATCAGATGTTCTGGTCACGGACATGGCAGTTGCTTTCATTGCACCCAGAAAGGTGTATGATCTTGGCGGTTTCCAGCCGTCCGGTTCCTTAGGTGTTTGTAGGTTTTTAGTTGGTTTAGTGGTCGGGTTTCCATCGAGCCCAGTAGAAGTGAAGCGTTGAGCAGGGCATCGGAAAACGGACAGCTGAGTTCTCCAAGAGTTGTGTGGGACACCAAAAGGATGGAACCGAACCGGCCGAATCGGAACTGGGCTGAGCAACCCCGAGCGAGCCTGTTGGCCTGGCTCAATTTGGGGCACCAAACCCAACCATCGCTCCCACCCGCGTGCGTGGTACGGGTATTGAGCTGCAAAGGGCTCTTGAAAGGCAAAGGATACGATTTGGCTTTCGGTGATAGTGAGCTCAAATATTATTCCCAGGTGAGCTCGCCATAAAATAGGCAGACAAGTGCATGGCTTCGCAAGAGCTTTTGGAAGACAATGAGAAAGGCCCTTAGAAAGGGTTGCTTTTCATTTCTCTGTCCATTCACTGGGGGGCGTGTTCAACATGAGAAAGTTGGCCAATCCGATTTCTTGATGTGGGTTTTGTACTCGTGGATCTCTTAGGAGCTGTAAACGCCGCAGACTTATCATTGAACCCCACCTTTGTAGGTATACTTCGCCCGGGCTTACCCCACAGTTGGCAAGTGTGCTCGACACGGCTCACTCGAGAGCGAGCTCTCGCGACCAAAACCATGTTGGAAGGGTGTTTGTTCCAAGGGATATAGTACGGCTACAAAGCCTTTGTAGTAGGCATCTTAGTAGAATCAACAGTCAATGGGTTTTGTGTACGTACTGCTCAGGCAAGTGAGCTTGTGGGATGGGTTGGGCTTGTGTCAACGCCGCCAAAACAAGGACCAAGAAAAGCTTTTCTCAACTTAGTTGGATCCTGTTGAACAGGACTTAGTGGATGACGGGTGCATTTTGGGGCACAAATCTCTTCACGAAAGGAACATTGGGCCTTGCAATTGTTCGAATCCCCAAATGCCCGCGTGAACATTTAGGACCTGACTGAGTCGACTCCTTAAGGCGGCTCACGAAGTAAAATCAGCTAGGGATGCAGGTTCCTGATGTTGGATTGGAATCCTAAAACTTCTGCGCACTGATTTGTTTCGTTTGGAGGCCTGGGACTACGTGCCTCACCTTTCAAATATGTCGAAAGTCCCAGCCTTTCGAAAACGAAGAACATCGTCGTGCAGTTTGACCCGAATTCACAAGTCAACCATGCCATGCAGTTGCCAAGTTGCCTTGCATGCGTTGCATAATGGGTCCCACTTGCGAGCGTATGTTGGCTTTTCGGATGGTTTCAAAGAGACACCTAAAGGAAACCAACCATGTGGGTTCTGCTGGAAAAAGGCCACACCCATTCCCGCCTTCTTCTTTTTTTTTGGGGGGGGAAATAGCCGTTGCATTTGTTGTTCCTGGGACTATATACTTCACGTTTGAGAGTAGACAAGATGTGAAACAGAATCAGAAGATGTGATTTTCTGTGCCCCCAGATCTGGTGCAAGATTTGGGGAGTCTTTGACAACAGATACTACAGGGACGCCTTTTGAAGTCCAGGAAGCTGATGTCGTCGCCACACGAGGGGCCCACTAGGCACCCTTTCTGGAAAGCCGCTACTGGTGGCCACTCAGGCAAATACACGTTGACCGGCAGACTTTGAGGATGTTCATTGTGAGACCTCTTATTGTTTGGTCTTTCACCTTGCAAAAGGCACTACGGCACTATGGATAAATCCAAATGAACGAGCCCTTGCGCATTTGGCAAGCGGCAGGGGTCCCTGCATTTCTCTTTGTAGTGGTTTTACCTTGGTAGTGTCAGGTTGAAATCGCACACCATGGGGATAGGACTTTGTACCAAGGGGCTGCCCATTCTGTAATTGCCAAAGGAAAATGCTTACCTATACAGGGGTCTCCTCTGAAACAGCTATTTATTTTGGGTTTTGCGAAGTATGGACCAGAATCATATGTATATATATACATATACATATATAGACATATATTTATATGCATATGTATATATATATATGTATACATACATATACATGTATGTATATACACGTATTTGGAGTACCCCAGATGTGGGCCAAGTGTAGTGGCGAAACGCCCGGGATCTGCTTGAGCAGGTTTATTCCGTGGTTCATGCGCGCCCGTCCTTCACCACGTGCTTGCCTCAGCTGGCGAAACGGGCGACATGGCTTCGGGGTTTTGGAGTTGTCACCCTTTTTGCGGTGGGTTTCAAAGGAAACCCACAGAAATCCGTTGTTACTGTGGGTTTTGGTTGAGGCTGTTTTTTCTGCAGGGTTCCTTTCCGGGGTCTCAATTTTTATTTTGACATGTGTGTTTGAGATCAACCAGGGGATTAGTGGCGGAGTTTGTGCCGGGGTGTGTGGCCTGGTGGCTTGGTGGCTTGGTGGCCTGGTGGCTTGGTGGCCTGGTGGCTTGCTGGCTTGGTGGCTTGGTGGCCTGGTGGCTTGGTGGCCTGGTGGCTTGCTGGCTTGGTGGCTTGGTGGGTTGGTTTGGCGGGTTGGTTGTTTGGGGCGCTTTTGGGCAGTTTTGGTGCTCTTTGAATGTGGGTTCGGCGATTTGTGCAGATGACACGCCAACCAGTCAGGATCTACGTGTGCTGTCACGTTCCTGATTGCATACTGGGAACGAACATATACCCGGTATGCATCCGGGGGTAGCCCAACCCGTGTAAAAGTATTTACCACTGGCTTTGAATAAAGTCATTTGGGGTATGACCTTGTCATGGACTGTGTGCTGTGCCTTGTATGTTCCGAGGAAGCATATGTTCTTTCTCCTTGGCGCCTGTTTCGCCACAGTCAAAACCAGTGTAATTGGACGAGAAAGGGGCAGTCCCAAGCATACATACCTGGGTGCGCATATCCTCCCTTGTATTAAATGGATAGATTTGGGTAGACCATTCTATTGCCAGATTTCGATATTGACTCGGATGAGACACAGTCAAAGCTACGGGTTCCCCCAACAAAACATGGGACAACGCGTGAGTTGACTGGTTTTTGCCGGCAAGTTAGAGCACATGGACCGCATGTAATTTCAATGTTGCCTCTGTTGGACAACACCCATTTCGCAGCATCTGCATGAATCCGCCCCCTTTCCCAAAAAAGGCAAGGGACAGATCCTTCGTTCATCGAATTGAACATTGGACATGTTAATCAAACGAACTGAACGAAAGCGAACGGATTCCCATGCAAATGATCCAAACATTTCCAACCCTGATCAATCCTTCGCTCATTTGCATTTGCCGTCGGGCGGATTTCGCTTTCGTCGCTTGCTCCTGCGAAGTTTTCGCCTACGCAGCTGCGAAATTTTTCGCCCCGAAGATGCGGATGTATGGCGTGCCATTGGGGGGTACCCAGATAAGGATAACCAAACAGAAAACCACCTTTTCTTTCTTGGGGGGGGGTCCCCCAAAAAAGGGCACACCCAGAATCAAAACGGCTCTTTGGATTTGCTTTACCAGAGGTTTGATTCTTTACCATGTGGTCTTTTAGATGTCAATACTTCTTCACCATGGGCTTTGGGTTGACTCCTCGCATAACAGGTTTTCCCCAACCACACACACATACCAAACACACCTCGCTTGAGTGGAGTGCCGAGTAGTCTCAGAGCCAGCGAGCGAGGAAGTGGCATTTGCCCTTTACGCTGCCCATCAGGGACCTGAATCAGGCATGCGAGCGAGAGAGATTGAGAGAGAGAGAGAGAGAGAGAGGTTGCGCCGGCTCTAGACAGTGGGAGGCTGAACTTTAGCTGAAATGACTATCTTTTTGTTTCCACCTGGTTTTAAAGGGACTCTATCACCACTGGAATCTATCTATTTGTATTTTGTCCAGGGGACTTGAGAAAATGGAGTTCAACATGTTCCACTGATTGTTGAGGGCAATTACTACTTTTTGTGGCCTTAAAGGGAGCGCCAAAAAACGTGGCTTTGCAGAGCTGAAGATTAGATCTGACTCGGCATTCCGGCTTCTGCGTGGGAAACAAGGGATGTTGCGTGGGAAATCGGAAATGGGAGTTGGTATGTGCCTGTTTCTGGAACAAGGAACACGGCTTTCAAGCGACAAAGTCATAGGAACAGTCCATACACCATCATTTTTTGGGGTTACTGTACCTAAAAACAGAGAAACACACCGGCATCTTCCTTCTTGAGGGTGTTTTGATTCGTTTCTGTTTGGGGGTCGCCCCAGATTGATCAGCCCCGGCTTGATAAATCTGGACAAATCATAGCGACCCTCGCAAAGAGAGCTCTCGCGACCTCACCATACAACGTGATGAAGGCTCTTTTGCTGGCTTCCCATGTACTACCCTCCCCCAGACTAACATGGGAAGCTCCCAGGACTGGAAGACCTGTTTCAGTTTACAGAGGCCTTCCGGGAGCTTCCATGTTTGTTTGAGGGAGCGTACCGACAGCTGAGTAGTTGTTTGCTATGTTTTTGGTCAAGGGAATCTTAACCCCTGGACGACGTAACCACTAGGGCAGGCACCAAATTAGTTGGTCAAAGGTGACTTTCTCCCGTCCACGTTGCCACCTGACAGAGGGCTCCTGCATTCCTTGGAACGGGATCCTCTGGTTCCGTGGACAGCAGGGTACATGAGGTGACCTGAAGTTGGCCTGTACCAA